TAATTTGGGTTTGGCTGAGGCGGGCATGTCCTTGTGGTTATCAGCTGCCTAAGTTTACCTACGGTCATTTAAGTCAATGTTATCTGCTAAATCTTTTAAGAATAAAATGCTTAAAGGCTTGGCTTTGTCTAACATTCAGTAAAGGTTTTGTAAGTAATCTAGCATAGTTGCTAAAAATAAGTAAACAAGCCTAGCAAATAAATATCTTAATAATAATACTGTATTAATGTATAACAGTATATATATATATGTATATATGCAAACAGCCTGAGAATTTTTGTAGTAACCAAAATTCTTAAAGTTTGCTAAGTTATATAGACATACTTTGTGCCTACTAAGAAATTGTGCTGTAAAGCACATTTCCAAAAATGATAATATACGTTCATAAATGTATCAATCTGAAGAATGCTAGTGTAACAGTTTACAGTAGCCTATTTTTCAGTGTTCACTGAAGGTTAAAGTAATAGTTTTAAGTTCTAATCAAAACTACTTAAAGTAGTAAGGAAAACATTTCTGCATGCTAAAAAATGTCTTTTGATAAGAGAAAGTAACTTTGTTCTAAAGTACAGTTGTTTATTTAGAAAGATCTAAATGTAAAAAGAAAGTTGTAAAGAGTTTGTAGAAGAATTTAATATGGTCATGCTATATAAAATTAAAGCAAATGAGTCTCAGTATCAAGTACACAGTAAAATTAGAATTTTGTTTTCAATTTAAAAAAAAAGACAGTTTTCTTAACTGTTAGTCTGCTCTTAATATTGAAAGATTGCAGAAAAGTCTTCTAATTGTTTTATCAAAGCAGTTTCTTATGCTTAAAGTCTCAGTGAGTTGTCGGAGGCTTTAAGAAGATGAGATCTTAATATTAAAAGGACTAAAAGCTAAACTTTGATAACAACTGTGTAACCTTTATTTGCCTTTGAAGTACTTTGTTGTCATTCTAGTTAATTGGATAAGTATTGCTTCATAGCAACCTATAATCCTATTTAAGCAAGTGCCTTAAAACTTTTAACAGCTTCCCAAAATCAAATTCAAAAAGGTGCTTTTACCTCTAGTTAACTCTGATATTTTCCAGAGGGCCCCTGGAACATGTCAGAAAACCTTTTTCTCATTGGAAAAAGTATTTGGCTAATTTAGCTTATTTATCTGATAATATAATTACCTGCTTAATTACCTAGAAAGTACTGTCAAAAAGAATAATGCTAAACTTTGTTATTGAATGTTTTGTGTTACAGAAATATCAGAATTTCCCTATGTCAACTGTCTTACAGTAAGCTCTCATCAGATCTTTAACCATTGGCATTTGTAAGTCTTTTATTATTTATAGTCTAGTAAAGAACTAGATTTCAGCAGAACAAGTATTAGTTACATAAGATTAAGTAAACTAAAGAAGATGATTTTGTAGCTTTTTGTTTCAAATGTTACTGATAAAGTGTTCTAAGCTTTTTCTCTTAAGCTGACAATTTAGTAAATGACTGCCTTTATAAGCAGAATTGAAACTTTATATTTCTCTCTACCCGATCCCTCCAGAATTTAAAAATTCTCAGTGACTATTTTTATATTTCATGGCAGTATGTTTATTTGCACAAATTCAATAAGAATCTGCTTTCTTTGTAAGAAGACCAATTAAAAACACTGGTTATATTACCAAGGCTTTGACTGGAACGTCATACCTGAGAGACACGTGTGTAACCTCAGATATGAACAGACAGCTTTAAGGAACTAATATTGACTTTATAAAGCCAACAAAGCCCCTTAGAAGAACTGGCCTGGTACCTTGCTTACAGAGTTCCCAGCAGCCTTACCAGGTGAGTAAGGAAGGTCACTTCCTGGCAGGGGCAGGAACCTCAGGAATGTCTTGGGAACCTCAAGAAGAGAGGAATTCACCCAAATCTACAGGTACTGCAGGCACAACTGAGGGCAAGTCTAGCTTGGCTTTCTGGCCTCAATCTGAAATTCCTTATAAAAAGTTCCAGCAAAGCATATTTAAAATAGCCTATGTAATCAATTGCTCTTCTTGCTGCACTTATGCAAATAATCAAGCCAACCGTTAATTATTTTCTTAATCTGGCTACTTCTAATAAAAATGAGGGTGATTTTAGAGAAAAGTATTGTTTCAATAATGCAGTCTTATCTATACTAAATCCCAATACTAGTCATTGAGATGTAAACTCGATCTAGAATTCCAGTCCCCCTTAATAGCCTGGCTAATGCCCCTACTGGGCCCCTTAATAACAGTTTGTAGTTTACTCTTAGTTGCCCCTTGTGTCCCCAAGTTCCTCCAACAGCAGCTAACCCAGATGACCCAGGTCGCCACCAACCAGATGTTACTTCACCGTTACACACCTCTTCCCACTGAGTCCCCTCCTTCGGCCTAATACCAGCCTCAAACCCCCATGATGCCCCTTGTCAGCCGGAAGTAGCCAGATGGAGTTGTCGCCCATTATGACCAAAAGGCTGGAATGTTAGTCTGCAGGCATCAGGGGAAGGGGTGAGCCTGAGGGACAAGCTCAGGCCTCACCAAACGAGGCAAAGAGACCAACAGGTTCCAGTCTGACAACATTGCAGAACCTGATCGGATAACCCTCCCAACTAGAGCCCCTCCCCCAAGCTAAAGGATTAGTGGTAACTTTCCAGTACCTGGCTAAAGGCCAATGAGAGACCCCCACGTACCCTAGATGAGCCAATTATCGCGCCAATGTACACCTTTGCTCTCCCTCCTGCCTTCTTTAAAAAGTTGCTGCCTGCCCTGCTGGGTGTGACTTCCCTGGCCTACGTTTCAGACCGTGGAACATCACCCCGGGGTGCATTCAAATAAACTGCCTGGCCCTTTGTTGCCTTTCTTCACCTGCTTACTTCGGTAGGAATTTATTGGAATTTATCTTACAATCTCTAGGATCGCCAATGGGTTTTCTGAGAATAGATATCATATGGGGTAGGGCACAGGGGTGTGTCACACCACACACACACACACACACACACACACACACACAGACACACACACACACACACACACCCTGAAAGAAGTGAGAAGGTCCCAGGGGTGTCAATCCAAGACATTAAATTGTGAGATTTCCCACCATGGTCCCACCTCTGGGGACTCCGGCTATAGAGAACAGTGACGGGTTTTGAGGACAGAAGGCTTCTCTCTGGGATCAATCAGGGGAAATCTCAAGGGTTTGAAGAGATTTGGGGGCAGAATCAGCACTCAGGCTTACCGCAGTTCTCTGCCCCTCACCCCTCATTTCTCCTAGTGTCTCAGACTACAGGGGAACATAGGAGATTTTAGCATCTCAGTTGGAATATCTGTTTTTCTCCTCAGGAATTCCAGAGGCCCCTCTTCCCAGTCCCTCTTCCCCTCAGGGACCCAGATGCCCCCCTCCACCCCAAGCTCCTGCTCACCACCCACCCCTGATTGTTTCTTGTTATCTCTGGCTTTTATCCAGTCTCCTGTTTACTCACTTCATTGTCTTAGTTGACTTTGGGTCCCAGTCAACTTGGAGCCTTTATCTCTCCCTCTGGGAACGGGCCTGGGGTGGGGGTGTCAGAGCCCCCACCCAGCCTGGCCGCCCAGAGGCCCAGGCCTTGGTGATAAGTGAGGAGAGGTGCTGGGGCAGCAGCTGCCAGGGTGTTGACTGGGAGGGCACCCAGGCTTCGCAGCTGCTGTTTCCAGAGAAGACTCCTCAGCCATCAGTGAGTCCTGGGGAGGAGAGTGGGTCCCGTGTCAGGCCAGTCCTTGGGAGGAACAGAGGCCATCTCGTAAAGCCCACAGCACCTCTCAGCGGTGTGTCTCTCCTGCCCCTTCTTCGTGTTTGACCTAGACCTCCATCTCCTACCCCAGGCAGAATCTGGGGTGATAGCGGGCACAGAGTCTCCTAAGACCTGTTCAGCAGCCAGTCCCTTCTCAAGAAAACCTCCCAGAAAACAAATAATTCTCCAGGAAGTGGAACCCGGTGTCAGCATAAAACCAGGAAACAGGCCTCGGGTGTTCTTCACACACAACCCCAGCCCCCAGGCCCCCGCTCCCCACCTGCGACCACACCAGAAGGGCCTGCTCCCCACCGCCAGTCCTTGAGAGTTCACAAAGCACCCTCCGGGACATCCATGCACCCAGTGAGGCGAGTTTTGATCTCCCCATTTTGCAGATGAGGTACCCAGGAGGCCCTGTGGGACTTGGGTGGGGATACTCTGTCCTACTCTCGGGCCTGGGTCAGGTGCCCAGACACCTGCCCTCTGCAGTGGTGCCTGAAACAGGATGTGGACAGCAGGGGTCACGGAGCAGCATGGGAGGACTAGGAAGCAGGCAGCACCCAGCTGCGGGTCATTTGCTGTTGCTCTTGGCAGAAGCCAAAGGAGAAAATGTAGCCATCAATTCAGCAGCAAACGAGACCAAATACCACTTTCCTCCTGGCTCCCAGTTCCCCCAGGGACCCAGCCCCTCAGCATCCTGCTCCCCAGCTGTTTCCCTCAGGGACACCACCCTTCCAGGGCTGAAGTGCCCAGCAGTTTCCCAGGACACAGCTACCAGCTGTTTTCACACCCCTCTCAGGACCCAGGTGTCTAGGCTCCTCCTCCCCATTCCCTGGCAATCAGGGTCCCTATTCTACCTGGCCATGGGATCAGCAACCTCCTCCAGGAAATTGGCACCATCTGCCTGGCAGGTGGCCCAGGGTGTGGCCCGAGGAGCCAAGAACCCCACTATATAGCTCAGCCCAGGGGATAGCCCTGCAGCTCCGGGGACCTGCAGGTGAGACAGGCTGAGGTCCCCTACTCCTGCCCCTGGCTCCAAGCCTCCCTGCCTACCCCAGACCCACTGGACATCAACTCCTCATCTTTGCCCCATCCTGCCCTCCCTACCCCACTCCCTACCCATTGGACACCCAACTCCCCTCTACATGCACTGTGTCTTTCCCTCTCCCTCTCCATCTCCGCTGGCCCTTGTATCCAGCCCATCTCAGGCTTCCTGGGACCCAGGTGGCCTCTGTCCTGAGACTGGGCCTTTCTGTTCTCTCCGGCACCATCTCTGGCAGGAGACAAACCTTCTATGACTCTTTCCACACTGCAGATATGGGTTCCCTGCGGAGCTGGTGGACATTGTGGGCCGGAGCAGCCCTCCTGTGGGGTGAGTCAGACCGAAATCCCATCTGTGTCCTTGTTCTAGTCTGGGGATTCTGCCTACCTGGGACAGCTCCCTCCATGTGTGCCCCTTCTGCAAGCCCACCTCCCAGTGTCCCCCCCAACCCCCATGCTAGCTGAGACAGAAGAGATGCCCCTTAGGTTCTGCAAGCAATGTGGTGGCCTTTTCTCTCTGTTCTGGAGGGAAGCAGGTAAAAACTTTAGTCCCCAAATTCAACTATCTGAGAACTACTACTCTTGATTTTCTGCAACTCAACTCAAACTTTGATTCTGAGCCTCAGTCTGCTGAAGTGATGGAAAATTCCACTGAAGTAATTCTTGGAGGGGTTGGTGCCCAATTTTCCAGGGTTATGTCCAGGGCTAGAGTCTTAGGTAAAGCCAAGGTACTGGGGAGAGGATGGGACGTCGGGGGCCTTCAGTTATGAGTCAACATCTACTTAAGTTATCTTTGAACGTTCATCGGCTTTGATCCCCTGGACTGTGGAATGCTGGGATATCTCTTAGGTCTCCCTTTACTCAGACATATTAACCTTCATTCTATAACTGCCACACCTTCTCCCAGACCCTGCAGCCCTCTCTCTCTCTCTCTCTGTCTCTCCCTCTCTCTCTCTCCCTCCCTCTCTTTTTAGCCCTGAAGAATCTCTTCCTAGCTGGGGGGTGTTGAAAAGTGCCCACACCTCTCTATTTCTAGAAGACATTCTGTCCCTACTCCCATAATCCCTTTCTTCCTTTTACCACCCCCCCACACACACACACACGCCCCGCCAAGTCCTATTAAGACAGAAATCACAAACTGGCACCTGAATCCAGATAGTTTGGGCCCCATAGGACTTTAAAACAATTTTGGGTTGGAGATTTCACATAGAAACTCAGGCCCAGTTTCTCTTAAGAAAAAGGTAATATCTGTCATAAAAAGAAAAATAAAGAACCCATAAACCATGCTAATAATGACAGGCTGAGGCTAGAAGCAACACCCCACTTTCAGTGAGACCTGAACCCTCCAGTTTGCAGTCACCACCCATATGTCCATGACTTGCCTGGCCTGGTCAGCATTAGAGTTTGAGATCCCTGTCCCAGGTGTTCACGCTTTTGGAAAAAAGGATCCAGAAAAGCTGGTTGGTAAATGCCACGTGAATAAAGAGAAAGGAAAGAAAAGAGAGAAAAAAAACCCAAGTTAGTATTTCAGCATGGTGCCAGGGCACAGGGCAAGGGGTCACTTCTCTGATGGGGAGGATTAGATAAGCAGACCTCCCAAACTGTCTTCTCCCCCCAGGGTTGACGCAGGAGGCCTCCGTGGACCCCGGGAACACCGGTGGGGAGGTATTCCTCATGGCCTTCCTGCAGAACTACCAGCTTGGGTACAGCCAGGCCCATCTCCAACTCCTCCTCTCCAGTCTGTCCGACAGCCCCACTTCAGTCTCTATCCTTAACCAGGCAGACGGCACCTTGCAGACCGTCACAGTGAAGCCTGGGCAGTCAGTCATGGTCAATATCAGCGCCAAGACTGAGCTGACTGGCAGCAGTACCTTCCAGCGTGCGGTGGTGATCCGCTCTGACCGCACCATCTCTGTGCAGGCCGCAAACTCTAAGCCTGCCACCGGGGAGCTGGCACTGCTGCGGCCTGTCCGTGTCCTGGGCACTGAGTACTTCGTGTTCACACCCCCAAGCATCTCATCCAAGAATGTCAAAGAGTTTGCTGTGGTGGCTGGTGCAGGGGGCGCCTCGGTCAGCGTGCAGCTCAAGGGGATGGTGACCTTCCAGAGCAAGATGTATGCAGCGGGCAATGTCCTGAGTGTGACTCTGCAGCCTTACCAGGTGGCCCAGATACAGAGTACAGCTGATCTCTCAGGGTCAAAGGTTACAGCCAGTAGCCCCGTAGCTGTCTTCTCCGGCCACAGCTGTGCCCAGAAGCACACAAACTGCAACTTTGTGATGGAGCAGCTGCTACCCACATCTGCCTGGGGCACCCAGTATGTGGTGCCCACTCTGTCCTTCCAGACTCGCTATGACCTGGCCTTTGTGGTGGCCAGCCAGGCCACAAAGCTGACCTACAACCACGGGGGAACCACTGGCTCCCGCAGTCTCAAGGCTGGTAGTGTGGAACAGTTTGAGATTCGGCCGTCCCGGCCACTCTACCTGAACGCAGATGTGGGCATCCAAGTCTTGCTGTTTGGCACTGGTGCCACAAAGGACGGAATCAGCTATGACCCCTACCTGGTTCTGATCCCAGATGTGGCAGCCTACTGCCCTGCCTCTGTAGTGAAGAGCATTCCAGGCCTGGCAGGTATGGCCCTGGTGGTGGCTCCAACAAAGGCTGCAGACGAGTGGACCCTGGATGGGCAGAGGCTGGGGGCCAAACTCAGCTGGACCGCTGTGCCAGGCAGTGAGTTCTCATATGCTGAAGTGGACCTCGGCTCTGCTGACAAGATCCACCTGGCCGAGGCCTCTGCCAGCTTTGGGCTGCTCACCTTCGGACTGATGCAGGAAGTGAGCTACGGGACAGCAGCTGCCTGTGGCCGGAGTGAGTGACGGGAAATATCCCCTGCCTCCTGAGGACCCCTTTGCCAGCTCTTTCCCCTTTCCCCTTTCCCATCCACCTGCTCCTCTGTGGCTTCCTGGTTCAGCTGGGCTATCCCCACCCTCACCACCACCACCCCTTCCTTTCCTCAAGGCTTTCCAGTCCCTCTCTACACCCCTGCCCACCAGGAACTATATGCTAAATATTTGGCAACTAGTGTGATCCAGGGTCCCAACCAGGAAGAAGAGATGCCAGGCAGATCCCAGCAGCAGGGGCCTAGAAGCCCCCACAGTACCTGGCAACAGCGCTCTGTTGGAGGATTGGAGAAGGAGCCCTAGCGGGGGGTCAAGGTACCAGAAAAGGGAGAATCTTGCCAGTGGGGGTGGCATGTTGGGGTGGGGGGTGGGGGGTGGTCAGCAGTTTCTTACTAACCAGTTTAGAAACTATTTTGATATCTTAGCTACTGTTATGCAATTATACCAGTTGCTGATTGCCACTCCCCCGCCCTCCTGGGCCTCATATAGGAATGTTTATGCCAAAATCAGGAAGTCTAAAGATATAATAATAATGAAGGCTACTATACCGAGGGGTAGGTGTCCCTCAATATGCCAGGGGCATTCTACGTGCTTCACATAGTAAATCTCTAGGACTGAGCCCTACTGTAAGCTCAGGCCCCCAGGCAGGACAGCATGGTGTTTGAGGGTCAGATGCTAAAGCCAGACTTCCCAGGCTCAAATCCCACCTCTGCTTATGTGACCTTTGTTTTGGCATGTGACCTCACCTCTGTACCCACATCTGTGAAATGGGGTAATAATAAAATAGGGTGGCAATGACCACCCCCTTCACAGGATTGCAGCTAGGGTGTCATGAGTAAACATTTGTAAAGCACTACAGGGGATCTGGCAGGTGAGTCAGGCTATGTAGGAGTGGGCTGTTACTTTGAGCAGAGGGAAGGCAAGAACTTTTGGGGACTGGGAGGCAAGGGAGAGGGGAGGAAGAGCTGTTTCTTCTTACGTGGAGCCCCACACCCAAGCTAGGACTCTGGGGTTCCCAGCACTGGCAAAAATGCTCCTCCCCCCGCCCTTCAGGGAACAGAAGCCACCCTGCTTCGAAGGGCTAGTTTGGGCTTGAATAGTAGAACCCGGAAGAGGTAGGTGATTAATTAGAACAGCTAACACCCAACACCAAGCCCTGCTTATGTTTTAGCTTATTTAAACCTGGCAACACCCTCCTCCCCAAATCACCCTAGGAAGAAGATAGCATCATCATCCCCATGTTACAGAGGAGGAAATTACATGACTTGCCCAGGGTCACACAGCTCATTGGTGAGCCAGGATTCTAACCTAGGTAGCCTGACTCCACCCTCAATTCCATTCTGTTGAATAGTCTCTGTCTTCTATTTTCTGTCCTTGAAAAAGATCCCTTAGCCTTTGACCTGAGTGGGAAGGGAGGGGAGAGGGGCAAATGGAGAGAAAAACCACAAATGAACATTTACGATTATTCCTGCCGTCGCTATCTTCCAGTTCCCTGGGCTGATCTGTGCTAAATGGGGAAATCAGAAAACCTGGGGTCGAGTCAAGCCTGAGCAGCTGTCTCCCTGGGGGACTCCAGACCTCAGTGTCCCCACTTCTAAAATGGGTAGTTGTGAATGCTGCCCAGGATACCCACCCACGTGGACATTCTGACTCTCTCTGTTGCCCCCTTCCTTCCTCAGCCCTGCTGACCCCAGAGAACCCTTGCAAAGATGTACAGTGTGCCCTCTGGCACCATTGCCAAGTGGTGGACGGTGCAGCCAAGTGTGTGAAGTTCCCCTTGGCCACTTGCCATGCCCAGGGAGACCCCCATTACACCACCTTTGATGGCCGTCGCTACGACATGATGGGCACGTGCTCATACACCATGGTGGAGCTGTGCAGCGACGACGAGTCCCTACCTGCCTTCAGCGTGGAGGCCAAGAATGAGCACCGGGGCAGCCGCCTCGTCTCTTACATTGGCTTGGTCACCGTGCGCGCCTACAGCCACTCAGTGTCACTGGCCCGTGGAGAAGCTGGCTTTGCTCGGGTAAATATCCAGGGGTTTAGGGTTTAATGCCCACGAGCCACCAGTCAGGAGGAGACAAAGCGTGGGTATCAGGCCCCAAACCTGAGCCCTTTGCCTAAGGGTGGAGGGCACAGAGGAGTGGGCCAAGGGTGGGGCCTGGTGGGAGGGATTTGACAATCAGCGGTGGAACCCTCACACCCCTTTGTCCAGCAGTTCCACTTCTGACACTTTTACAGATGCTCAGAGATAACGGTTAGGAAAAAAAGTTTATGGCAGTGTGGTGGTTTATAATAGCAAAGGGAAAAAGAAGAAAGAAAGAGAGGAAGAAAGAAAGGGAGGGAGGGAGGGAGGGAAGGAAGAAAACAAAATGTCTGACAGTGGGGAATTTCTCAAGTGACCAAACACTCAATTTAGTGAGTACCTACTATGCGCCAGATTTGTTTCTTAGCACTTTCCGTGTGTGAATGCATTTAATGCTCACAGCCATCTGTGGCAGTAGGCATTTTATTATCAACGCTTTTAGATGGGAAACAGGTCCAGACAGATGAGCAACTTCTCACCGGCTTAGAGTTAGTAAGAAATGGAGCAAGGAACACAGGCAGGCTCCTGCGCCCCCATTCTTCGCCTCAAGGCCACTTTGTCTCTGGGAAATGGATGACTACTCAGCCAATCCAAATAACAGCCAAGAGCAATAATTTCCCTTTTTTACCCACCATGTTATTATGAAAATCTTAAAATATCCGGGAAAGTTGAAGTCGTACAGTGAACACTCATGCCAAGTATTAATATGAAGTTCGTGAGCAGGCAAAAGTAATCCATAGCAGAAAAAAATCAGAGCCGTGATTGCCTCTGAACATCTCACTCTTCTTGACTTATCACACACCTGCCATCTGCCAATCCTCTGTCCACTCAACAATCCCTCTTACTTTTTATGCACTTCAAAGTAAGTTCCAGGCATCCCTGTCTTCATGTCACCCCTAACGACTTCAACATGCATATCATTAACTAAAAGACATTATTTTGACACTTACTTTTGCTTATTATTGATATCATACTTACACATACATAATATCCACAAATCTTATGTATAAAGCTCACTGAATTTTGATAAATGTGTAACCCAAACTGCCATTAAGATAGAGACTACTTTCATCCCTCTGGAAAATTCTCTCATGTCCCTTCCCAAATAATCCCCAGCCCATCCCTAGAGGCAATCACAGTCCTGATTTTTTTCCACCATAGATTAGTTTTGCCTGTTGACAGACCTCACATTAATGGAATCATACAGGGGAAGGAAGCTGTTGTGGAAGGCTTCTTTTGTCCACTGTAATACTTTTGAGATTCTTCCATGTTGCTGCAATTAATTTTTTTAGTCGGTATAGCATCCCTTAACTCAAAACCACGAGAGCAGGACAAGAGCAGGCTGTGAAAGGCCTTGCTCTCACTTATCTTCATTGGCTTTCCCCCCACTTCTCACAGGTGACTCCTTGTCCTGATTCCTTGAGTATTTATCTAGGTTTCTTTATACCAATACAAGCAGATATAAGCATGCCTTCTTACTTCTCCCCTTTCTTAGCCCAGAGTGCTGTACCATATGCCCTGTTCTGCACTTTGATTTTATGCTGCACAGTAGGCTTTAGAGCTGTTTGCGTGTCAGTGTGTGGGGATCCTCTTCTTTCTTTTTCACAGCTGCACCATTCTCCTTTGGATGGACACATCATAGTTCATTTCACTCAGTCCCCTGTGGATGGACACTTTGTTCATGATCACCAACAGACTGCAGTGAATATTCTTGTACCTCCCCTGTTTCTGAGTGTATGGTAGATCTGTGAGATTAATGAGCAAGTGGATGAAAGTAGGTGTTCTTAAGATCTAGAGGGATTGAGCACAAGCTCTGGGGGAACTTTAAATCCCTTGAAGTTATGTGCAGAATTTTGTCCCTGCTCTGCAGTTTTTCAGGGACAGGGTCCAATGCTTTTTTCAGATCCTTAGAAAGATGACTTGACAAAGGTTTAGAGCTCCTGATAGAATCATGATGGAATGTCCCCAAGATGTTGTTAGGAGAAAAGAGGAGATCACGGAATGGTGACTTCAACAAGGTCTCATTATATAAAAAGAAAAAGAAAATATAAATGTATTTAAAGCTAGGAACGAAACAACCTGGCTGGATTTATGTGTGTGTGTGTGTGTGTGTCTGCAGCAATATGGGTGACTTCTCTTTTCTCATTGTGCTCATGTGCATTTGCTAGACTTTCTGTAATGAACAAATATTACTTGTGTCATTTGAAAATGGAGATCACTGGTCTTAGGGGAAAGACAGATCTGAGCAGTGGTCCCTGGGCTGAGAGCCTGTGAGTGTGGGGCTCTAGCTGTTCCGGTCCCTGCTGTGTCTGCAGCACTGCCCGGCGCAGACCTGGACACACAGCAGGGCTCATGGAGGTGTTGCTGACTGCCTGCCTGACTGGATGGTCTTACCTTCAGACTCTTGTTCATGCTGTCCCCTCTGCCTATTACTCCTTTTTTCATATCCCATCTTCTTGGCTAAGAGAATGTATGAAGAAAGAATAAAAAAGAGATGCTCAGGAAGAGGAAACTGGGCCTGGGGGACAGAGAGATACACTCAGGACATTAGCAAAGAAATACACTTCCTCCTGTCTTCATGGCTGCCTCCCACCGACCCCTTATGCTTGGCTCAGTTGTCCCTTCCTCCAGAAGCCTCCCCTGACTACAAGGTTGGGTCTGGCCCTTTTTCTAGGCTCCCACAGCAGTCTTCGGTGCCTCTACCATCCCAGCCCTGGCCACTCTGATCCATCACTGTCTAGTGACAAGTCTGTCCCCACCCCTTGGCTGGGAGCCTCATGAGAGCGGGATCTGAGGTTGGATCCATTAGCGCTGCTTCTCCAGGATCTCCCAGCCCAGGGCCAAGCACAGAGTGAGTGCCAGTGTTTGTTTAACACAGCAGTGCCTTCACACACTTATAAGCACCTGCTGTTCTACCAGACACTGCTCCAGGCATGGGAGATGAAGCAGTGATCAAAGCAGACACAAAATCCCTGTCTTCATGGACCTGACAGTCTAGCAGAGTTAGATAAATGATAAACATGATAAATTTGCCAGTTACATTTTAGAGGTTAGGAACTATAGGAAAAAATAGGGCAGAGGAGGGGCATAGACAGTGGGGAGGAGTTGCCATAGAAAATAGGGTGGGTGGCAAGGGAGGGAGAAGGGGACTAAGAGGTATTATGATTAGCACACATAATGTAGGGGGGTCACGGGGAAGGCAGTGTAGCACAGAGAAGACAAGTAGTGACTCTGTGGCATCTTACTACACTGATGGGCAGTGACTGTAATGGGGTGTGTGGGGGGGAACTTGATAATATGGGTGAATGTAATAACCACAATGTTGCTCATGTGAAACCTTCCTAAGATTGTATATCAATGATACCTTAATAATGAATAAATAAATAAATTTAGAAAAAAAATAGGGTGGTCAGGGAGGGCCTTCTGGAGATGGCAACATTTGAGCAAAGCTTTAAGGGAGATGAGGGAGTGAGCCGTGTGTGCATCTAAGGGAAGAACATTTCAGGCCACGGGCATGGCTCCATCCTGAGGCTTGGTCGGTGGCAGCAACAGGAGGAAGGAGTCCCAAAGCAGCCAGAGCAGCAGAAGGCAGCGGGGGGAGGCTGAGCACCCTCCCTCTCTCCTCTGCAGATCGACGATCAGCGCTTTCGCCTGCCAGCCTCCCTGGCCCTCGGTCGCCTGCGCGTGTACCAGAGTGGGATGCAGGCCGTGGTGGAGCTGGACTTCGGGCTGGTGGTCACCTATGACTGGGACTGCCAGCTGTCAGTGAGCCTGCCTCAGATTTTCCAAGACGGCGTGTGTGGACTATGTGGAAACTATAATAACAACCCCGCTGATGACTTCCTCACACCCGAATGGGAGCAGGCTGCTGACCTCGTGGAGTTTGCCAAGAGCTGGAAGCTGGATGATGAGGACTCCCTGTGCACAGATGGCTGCCAAAACGACTGTCCCTCCTGTACCCCGGGCCAGGCCCAGCACTATGAGGGCAGCCGTCTCTGCGGCATGCTCACTCAGCCCGATGGCCCCTTTGCAGCCTGCCATCATGCTCTGGAGCCCCAGGCCTTCCTGAAAGAGTGCGTGTATGACCTGTGTGTGCTCAGCGGCGACCGGTCCAGCCTGTGCCGCAGCCTCAGTGCCTACGCCCAGGCCTGTTTGGGGCATGGCATCTCTGTTGGGGACTGGAGGTCACCAGCCAACTGCCGTGAGTGATGCCCCAGCTGGGGCTGGGGGCACGTGGTGGGAGGTAGGGGACCCCTTGCATCTGCTCAGTATCTGAACACTTAACTGTGGTCAGCCTGGAGCTGGACCATGTGCCAGGGACAGCGATGGCCAAGACAGCCAGGTTCTGCCCATTGGGAGCCTAAGGGGGGGCCAGATGCATCACTAGACAGTGACAGTCCAGAGTGGTCACAGCTGGGGTGGGGGAGGCACAGGCAGAGTGTCGAGGCTGGGTGGCGGTTAAGTTCAAGGGGGCAAGGCCATGGGGTCCAGAGAAGCTCCCTGACTCAGAAGGGAGGATTCCCCCGAGGAAGGGATGCCCAATATGAAACTCGTAGGAAAGACTGGAATAGATAGGAAAAAGGAGCAGGAAGTGGGTTCCAGGCGGAGGGAAGAGTGTGAGAGATAGTCTGCAGAGCCCCCAAGCAGGAGAGTGAACATGCCTTTATTTATAGCCCTGCGGTGACTCCCCAGTGTCATCAGGATAAAGTCCAAGCCCCTAGCCGGGTGTGCATCCACTTAATCATTCATTTATGATTCATTTAACCAGCTTTGCCGGAGCCCCCATCTAGCCCCATCCCAGTGCTTCTGGTGGGCACAGTGGGGGCCAACACACCGCTGTCCCTGCTCTTGTGATGCTCCCAGAGACATGCTCAGGAGGCAGAAAGGCCAGGAGGGAGGAGGCACCCAGGCTCATCCCCAGGCCTTGAGACAGGACCCTGAGGGAGAATGAGTCTGGGGCAGACATGGTGGCCACTTGGGGTTTGTCTTGGGCACTGCTGTGTCCTCACTGCCCAGTAAACTCTCCCCCAGGATAGCTTGCCAATGCCTGGGCAAAAGAGGAACCCATGAGCTCATGTATCCACTTCCCCAGTATTTACTGAGCATCTCCCATGGACCAGGCGCTGTCCTTGGTGCTGGGGATTCAGCCGTGACTGAGAGGGACCAGGTCCCCACTCTCACAGAACTTACAGCCTAGCAGGGGAGGCAGACAGCAAGCAGTGAATTATCGAATATCTTCAGAGAACAAAAGAAACAAAGCTCATGTAATAAGAGCACATGGGAGGCTGGTGGAGAGGGTGCTCAGGGGAGGCCTCTCTGCCAAGCCAGATCACAGCAATGGAGTCAGCTAACTAATAATGATGCTCATGAGGTGTATTTACATAAATTAACTTACTTTCACCTCACTACCCTGTGAGGTCCACACTGTTGTTATTCCATTTTACTGATGGGGAAACTGAGGCTCAGGGAGATGGGAGTCATTTGCTCACAAGCTCACAGCTAAGAAGAGGAGAGCTGAGATCTGAACCCAGGCCATCTGGGCTCCAGTAGCCTTCTCTTAACCACATTCTGCATTGCTTTCTGGGGTAAGACCCTTACAGGCAGGGGGAAGAGCTGATGCAAAGGCCCTGAGGTGGGAGTGAGAGGACCCTCAGAGAGGCCACTGTGGCCGTGGCCGATTAAGCCAGAGGGAGAGTGAGAGGAGAGAAGACAGGGCGGTAACAGAGCAGATGGTAGGCTTCGTGGGCCACTAAGAGGACCGTGGCTTTTCCCCTGAGTAATAGGGCCCCCTGTGAGGGCTCTGAGCAGGAGAGGGGCCCCAGCTGGCTCTAGTGCGCCCAGGGTCCCTTTGGCTGCATGTGAGGAACAGACTGTGGGGCAGGAGGGGAGCAGCTGGGAGACCAGGCAGAAAGCTGCTCGGGTGGATAGGACCGCGGTGGGAGGAGGGGGCAGATTCTGGATCGACTGTGATTACGGAGTTGACAGGATTTACTGACAGACTCGTTGTCCAGTGAGTGAAGGGGGATGTGAGTAACTGTGCCGCTGAGGTTTGAGCGCCGGCAGAATGGAGGTGCCATTCACTGCCAGGCGGAGCTCAGAGGGAGGAGCAGGGTTTGGGGAGGGAAGTCCCGGCGCGCCCTTCCGACGGGGCGCCCCTCTAGGGCCGCTCATCCGGCCTGACCCACCCTCCGCGCCTCCCTGCAGCCCTATCCTGTCCCGCGAACAGCCGCTACGAGCTCTGCGGCCCCGCCTGCCCGGCCTCCTGCAACCCCACCGCAGCGCCGGCCAACTGCTCCGGGCGTCCCTGCGTGGAGGGCTGCGTGTGCCTCCCCGGCTTCCTGCTCAGCGGCGGCGCCTGCGTGGCGGCCTCGTCGTGCGGCTGCACCTTCAAGGGCCTCCCGCTCGCGCCGGGCCAGGCGGTGTGGGCCGACGATCAGTGCCGGCAGCGCTGCACCTGCGACACAGCCAGCCAGCAGGTGCGCTGCAGCGACACGCAGGGCTGCCCGGCGGGCGAGCGCTGCCGCGTGCAGAACGGCCTCCTGGGGTGCTACCCCAACAGCTTCGGGACTTGCCAGGGGTCTGGCGACCCGCACTACGTGAGCTTCGACGGCCAGCGCTTCGACTTCATGGGCACCTGCACGTACCTGCTGACCGGCTCTTGTGGCCAGGCCGCGGGGCTGCCGGCCTTCCGGGTGCTGGTGGAAAACGAGCATCGGGGCAGCCAGACGGTGAGCTACACACGAGCTGTGCGCGTGGAGGCCCGCGGCGTGAAGGTGGCCGTGCGCCGGGAGCACCCTGGGCAAGTGCTGGTGAGTGACTGGCGCCACGACTGGTGGAGGGGTGGGAAGTCCCCCTGTAGAGTAGGGGCTCTGGACCCGCGGTGGGGCAGGGCTCTGTTCGAAGACCTCGTGACCAGTGGTTGCAGCCCCTCAAGCTGGTTCTCCCTGGCTGTGTGACTTTGTCTCTTGGAGCCTCAGTTTTGTCCTCTTTTGTCAAATGCAATAATAAGCAGGTGCCTCCTGGAGTGGCAGCTGGTTCACAGATGGTTGTAGGGATATGATGAGTTAATATTTGTAGGGTGTTTAAAAGAGGCCCAGTAAATGTTTTGGTAAATGTTGACTTCATATTTTATTGTTTTCAACCCTCCAAAGTTATAGATTTGTACATTTTCTGGAGGACAACTGATTATTCAGGGAGTAAGGTGACACGTGAAAGGCCAGGAAACTGGAGGGGTGTGAAGGAGGCAGGGTATGGAGAGGTGGGGCTCGCAGGTGGGCCCACAGCAGGCAAGTTTCTGGGCAGAGGCTTCTTAGAGGATCTACTACCCAGCAGAAGTCAAGAGCCACTGATTTTCTCTTTAAAAACAAAAAAAGTAAAAATTGAGAGGTGGGCTATTGAAGATTCACAAGGATAGTTGTTAATTACTATTTAACAGTTTTAGGGAGTGGCGCATGCCCTGGGGAGGAGGATGAACTGGAGGTGGAAAACAGAGAACTTTCCATGTGCCAGGCACTGTACTAAAACCCTTTACAGACCTTAACACATAATCCTCAGAACAACCTTGAAGTAAAGGAAGTTCTGCCCATTAAGCTTACTGTGGCATACAGAAACTTCTAGATAAACAGAGGACATAGTTATTAATATTTATGTTCTCATCTCTCTGAGATGGCATTCAAGCTGAGGCTTGAATAGTAACAGTCAACGTATATTAAATTACTTCTGTATGTTAAATGCTTGTCATACAGAAACTCAATCTCTACAACAACCCTGTGAAATAGCTAATCTTGTAAAATGAAACTGAGGCACAGAGAGGTTAAGTAACCTATTCAAGGTCACACAGTAATGAGTGGCAGAACCAGTATTTGAAGCCAGGCTGTTTAGCTCCAGAGCCCATACTTTTAATCACTACATCGCCCTGCCTTTCTTGTTCTAAACAGGTAGGGAGAGAAGTGAGTAGAAGGCAGCTGAGTGAGTGATATGGTAGGTAGGCATAAAGGTGGAGAGAGCCAAGATTAAGCAGGACTTTCTAGGGAAGGGGCTTGGATTGAAGCCAAGTCTTAAAGGAGGAAGGGGAAACAGCCAGAAGAAAAGTGGTAGCTGGTGTTCTTGGTAAAGTGAAAAGGCCTTAAATTAGACTAAACAGGGAATGTTAGAGGAACGTCAAGAAAGCCAGTGTGACTGGAGTGGAATGAGTGAGAGGACAGAGGAGGGCATTAAGTTCAGGGAGGTAATGGGGAGATGGAGGCAGATCTTGTGGGCTTTAAAGGCCAGGGGTTAGGAATTTGGGTTTAAGTTGATAGCTGAGGGATGAAGAGAGGTGGATGATGTGCCAAGCAGAGGGAACAGCAAGTCCAAAGGCCCTGAGGTGGGGCCAAGTATAAAATGCTTAAGAGACTAGCAAGGAGGCCAGAATAGCTGGAGCCAAATGACTGAGGGGTGAGCCACAAAGCCATGAATACTGACCCCTCAGCCCTCCTGCATCTCTACCCAGGTGGACGGCATCCTTCGCTACCTGCCCTTCCAGGCAGCAGATGGGCAGGTCCAGGTGTTCCGCCAAGGCCAGAACGCTGTCGTGCGCACAGACTTTGGCTTGACTGTCACCTACGACTGGAGCGCCCATGTGACTGCCAAGGTGCCCGGCAGCTATGCTGGGGCCCTGTGTGGGCTCTGCGGGAACTTCAACGGGAAACAAGAGGACGACCTGGCTTTACGGGGTGGGGGCCAAGCTGCCAATGCGCTGGCCTTTGGGAATAGCTGGCAGGAGGAGACAAGACCCGGCTGTGGAGCAGCCACACCAGGTGACTGTCCCAACCTGGACTCCCTGGTGGCCCAGCAGCTGCAAAGCAAGAAAGAATGTGGGATCCTTGCTGACCCCAAGGGACCCTTCCGGGAATGCCACAACACGCTGGATCCACAGGGTGCTGTGCGCGACTGCGTCTATGACCACTGCCTGCTGCCAGGCCAGTCTGGGCCACTGTGTGACGCACTGGCTGCCTACGCTGATGCATGCCAGGCTGCTGGGGCAACTGTGCACCCCTGGAGGAGTGAGGAACTTTGCCGTGAGTACTGGGAGTGACACCTGGGGGCTCAGCTTTATGTGTGTCCATTAACGTATAGATACCATTAGTTTATTTAATTCTTGTAACAGCTTTATGAGAGAGGGACTGTGGTATATTCATTTAACAGATCAGGAAACCAAGGCTCAGAAAGGTTCAGCTGCATGCCCGGGATCACAGTAGCTAGGAAGTCACAGATGCAGTAAATATTTATACATGGCCAAACGCGGTCTGGTCCCCATATGGCAGTGGTCATTAGGAGATGAGCAGGGGTGCTGCCATTAGGAGGAGACTAGTCCCCTCTCCAGTTCTTCTTGGTCCCCCTCTGGTCTATTTCACTCATTTACAACATCTGCCCGGCCCCTTGGGCAGTCAGATGGAGACCCTTGCCTCAGATGTGGGTGCCGGAATGGCCTTCAAATGTCTGCTTGTCTGTGAGAGGTTTGCAAGGCCACGCATCCCCTCACCTGAGTTTACATTGTAAAATTTACCCTTGAAAATAATACATATTAAAAAACATGTACATATAATAAGTGAACAGCTTGATCAGTTTTCAGCAAGACACAAATCGGTGTAACCTGTCCCAAGCATCAAAAAAAAAAGAGTATACCAGGCCTTTCCACCTGCTCAGAAGCCCATTCATGCCGCCTTCCCAGTCCTATGCCCCGAGAGGCAACCCCTATTCTAGCTTCTAAAGTTTTTGAATCTTATATAAAGGGAGGCATACAGCTCTAGCTTTTCTAGTGTAAATAATTGCAAAAGATGTAATTTCCAGAAAACAGTAACTTGACTTTAAAAACCTTTTTATTAGGGAAAATTTTGAACATACACAAAGCAGAGAGAATAAGATAATGAACTCCCATACATCCACCATCTAGATTCCATAATTATCAACATAATAGTGACATTTTAAATGAAAATTGTGACTTACGTGACTCTTTTAAATATATTGAAAAGATAGAGGCTACACAGCAGTACATATCACTCACTGTCCCTTTAAAAATACATGATAAACATGAATTTCACATCATCCCTTTGCTCTCTGTCAACTTACATTCATTCATTCAACAAATATTTGTTGAACACCTACTGTATTCCAGGCACTAGGAACACAATGGGGGAGAAAAACAGGAAAAAAAAAATCCTTGCTCTCCTGAACTAATGTTCTTAGTTTTAGTTCCAACAGAATTTAACCTAATGCAACCTACTTTAATACATGAAAGTCTCTTTTTTGCCCACTCCATCAGTTCGTTTTTGCTGGATAACAAATATCGCCAAAGCTTAAGGCAGATTAAAACAACAGGTATTTAGTATTTCCCATGATTCTGTGGGCTGCTGGGCTATTTCATATTGGGCTGGCGTGGTCTATCCCTGCAGGCTGCCGATGGCCCCGTGGGCGCTAGCTGGTCTACAGTGGCCTGACTCACATGTCTGAGAGTTGTCAGCGGGGTTGGCTGGGGGTAGCTCAGCCAGGACTGCTTGTCTCTGCTCTACTTGGTCTCCCCTTCCAGCCAGTTAGGACAGGCTTCTTCACACAGCGTTCAAGGCTCCAAAGAGCAGCAAGAGTGGACAAGCCTCAGTGGGCAAGGACACTTCAGGCCTCTACTTGGCATCACATCTGCTACTGTCCCGGTGTCCAAAGCCATTACCACAGCCAAACGCAAGTCAGGGGTGGCCATTGTCAGTCTGTCACAATTCCCATTATACTTCTCTGCCGCATACACATATGTGAGCAACATTTTTAAATGTTTAGAAATTCCTGAGACCAAAAGACTCTAAATATTCCAAACAAAATAGATGGAGTGAGTTATCATTGCAAAGATCACTAGTAAGCAACTGATAAAAATATTAGACATCAAAAGGAGAAGGTATTAGAAAGGCATCTTAGTGAGACGGATGGAGCTTTCCCCCAGGTAGTTCTGTTGTTAGAATGAGGCAGCATTCAGAATTGTTTCTATTTCTCCTTTCTGTAGATATGATATTAATGAGTGGGTGGAAATGGAAGAAGTTCTGGTCCAGCAAGGTCACCCCCTTCTCTGAACTCCTTTGAGTTGTAGGGGAGTCGTTACACAGCATAGAACTTAGTGTTTATGACCTCAGAGCAGCCGATTCTATTAGGCCCGCCTTCCATTTTGCTGGGAGCAGAGTTGGAACTGACTTGTCACTCCGTAATGATTCATCAATTCATTGCCTCCACAACTTGTAGCCAGAAAGTAGCCATATGTCCCTTCGTGTCCCTGAAGGTTTCCACTCCCCAGGGCAGCACACTCTGTTGATTCGGGATGGGTGGGGACTGCCCTGTCCTCTCGTGCATAGTGGGAGAAGCATGCTTGCCAAGGGACAGTGGGAAAGAGACGTAGCTCCTTCCAGGCACCTTAGGAAGGACATGTGCTATTCCAGCTAGCACTTGCATAGCATACTTTCCTCTGGGCAGATCCTCTTCCAAGGGCTTTGCAGTTCTCATTTCATCCTCACAACCACTCTGTGAGGTAGGATCGGTCCTATTCCTGTCTTACAAAATGGGGAAATAGAACCACAGAAATATTAAGTAACTTGCCTGAGGTCACACAGCAGGGCAACATGATCTCAGCCCAGGTGGGATGGCTCCTGAGTTTGTACTGTAAACTGCTGCATTCTGTGGCCTCTGTGGAAATTGAGATTCTCTTATTTCCTTAAACCCATGCTTGCTCTTGTACTCCTTGGAAGTTCTAGATAACTGGGTTGGAGGATTCAGACATAAGGCAGACGGAGACCTGGGGTGGGGCCCAGTAGCAACTTTGGTGATTATGGATATTTTGCCCTTCTTAGTCCTTCTACCTCCTCTTCCACTGCCCTTCCTTTTTTATCTTGCTGAAATACTTTAAAGTAAATTCTAGACATGAGTTTTCCCATAAATACTTCAGTAAACTTCACCCACAGACAGAATTTTTTTTTTTTTGGTACCGTTAATGTACAATTACTTGACCAACATTATGGTTACTAGACTCCCCCTATTATCAAGTCCACCCCACACACCCCATTACAGTCACTGTCCATCAGCGTAGTAAGATGCTGTAGAATCACTACTTGCACAGACAGGAATTAGAAGAAACATGACCACAGTGTTGTTATTACCAGTTACAAACATAACATTGATGCCTTAACATCATCTAAAACCCAAACTGGTTTCAAATTTCCCCAACTGTCTGAAAAATGTTTTTCCCCAATTTATTTGAATCTGGACCCAGACCAAATCCACATGCTGCACTGGGTTGATTTTTCTTAATCACTTTTATCCTCTAATAGCCTTCTTCCCTTTTTGCCCCAACACATAATAAAAATGTTCAAAGATATGGAAAAGTTGAAAGAATTTTACCATAACTACTCATACACTTGCCATCTAGATTCTACAATCTGTATTTTACTAGACATGCGTTATCATATACTTATCCCTTTATCCACCCCTCCTTTTGTTCACACTATTTGTTTATTGCAAAGCGTTTGTCCTGTGGGATTTCCTACGTTTTGGATTTGGCCAGTTGCCTTTTTGTAGCATTGTTTCACTTGTCCCTCTGTCCGCCAGATTCTCTTCTAACTGGAGATTAGATTAGGACAGTGCTGCCCAATAGAACTTTGGGGATGATGTAAATGTCCTGTATCTGACCTGTTCCGTCTGGTCACCACTAGTCAGATGTGGCTACTGAGCACTTGAAATGGGGTTAGTATGACGAAGGGACTAAATCTTCAGTTTTTAGCAAGTTTAAATTAACTGACATTTAAATGGCCACACTTGGCTATTGTACTGGACCACACAAATGGAGGCTTGACTGGATTCTGTTTTAGTTTTAGTTTTTCTGTTGTTTTGAGGAAAGCACCTGTCTTAAAATCTGCAATGCCTGACATTTGGAGAGAGGGAGAAAAGAACAGAAATTCCTTTTTTTTCCCTCTTTATAGCCAAATATTTTAATTTACTACAGAATTACTGCTACTATATTACTGCTAAGACTGAAGGTGAAAATATTGCATTCAAAAATACACAGCATAGAATACATACACACACACACTGTACACACATGTGTGTATGTTTAAAATATGTGCCACATATTCCCAACTTGTTACTAACATGAATAAGGTCATTAAAAACATTACAAATAACTCCTAACCATAGTTAACTTGGAATAGACTCTTAATTATAGGGATCAGATTGTGATATAATCTGCTCTCCAGGTCCCTAAACAGAGGGGCCCCCTGCAGCTGACCCCTGATGCGTGAATGGCTGCCTGCATGGGCGTCAGTGGGGAGCAGGGCTTCCCGGTTCTCATGGCCACTCTCCCTGCAGCACTGAGCTGCCCTCCCCACAGCCACCACGAGGTGTGTTCCCAAGGCTGCCCGCTGTCCTGCGGAGATCTCCCCGTGCCTGGGGGCTGCAGCTCCACCTGCCACGAGGGCTGTGTGTGTGATGAGGGCTTTGCACTCAGTGGTGAGTCCTGCCTGCCCCTACCTTCCTGCGGCTGCGTGTACCAGGGCACCTACCACCCGCCAGGCCATACCTTCCACCCTGGGCCGGGCTGCGATTCCCTTTGCCACTGCCAGGAGGGCGGCCTGGTGTCCTGCAAGCCCTCCAGCTGCGGCCCACACGAGGCCTGCCAGCCGTCCGGCGGTGTCCTGGGCTGCGTGGCTGTGGGCTCTGCCACCTGCCAGGCGTCAGGAGACCCCCATTACACTACCTTTGATGGCCGCCGCTTCGACTTCATGGGCACCTGTGTGTACTCCCTGGCTCGGACCTGCGGGACCCGGCCCGGCTTGGGCCAATTTGCCGTCCTGCAGGAGAATGTTGCCTGGAACACTGGGAAAGTCAGCGTGACCAGGGTGATCACTGTCCAGGTGGCAAACTTCACCCTGCGGCTGGAGCAGAATCAGAGGAAGGTCACGGTGAGTGCCCAGGGCAGAGCACGAAGGGGAGGGGGCCCAGGATCCAGGGTGACCTGTGGGTGGGGCAGGGGCAGGGAGGCAGGATGAGCAGACTCAGCCCAGGGGGAAAGGGCACAGAGTTTGGAGTGGACATGGGAAGCACGGAGGCCCCAGGCAGAGGAGGGGCCATCCAGAGCCCAGAGTGGGAAGCCAGGGAGGGAGCAGGCGTTGGGGACCTGGGGCCAGCTCCCACGTGACTTAGTGTCCCCTCTTCCTGCCACTGACTAGCCCCTCTGAACGCCTCTCCCACACCCTCCTCCTTCCTCCCCACCTTTCTCTCCACCCTGACCCCTGCCCCAGCCACCTGCCCCACCTCCCAGCCAGTGGCAGACCAGGATGCAGTCAGAGGTCGGGAAATTCCAGGGATGGGAAAGGTTCAAGGACAGAGACTGTCTGTGGGTGGCTTCATGGCCTCTTACCAACTGCATAGCGACAATAACAGCAGCTGCGGTTTTCGCAAGGCCAGCCCGAGACTTTGTTGGCTGCTAAGCACTTCACATCCACAGTGTCATTTCATCCTCACAACAGTACCTAGAGGTACCACGATTTGCTTTATTTTTTAGAGGGGGAGATCCCATCACTGGCCCAAAGCCCCCCAGCAAAGGCAGGACTTGAACCCCAAACAGTGAGCCAGGACTCAGAACGCTGGGCCAAGGGTGCCCCACGGTGCTTTTCTGACCGAGAAGGATTTGGTCTGACATGGAAACTGGCATTTCACTTACACTAGAGGGATTTCCCGGAGAGCCCACTAAAATGCAGGCACACAATCACTGTACCAGCTGTGGTGCTGATGACTGAGATGCTGATAAATAGTTGACTTTTTCAGGTGCTCACTGGGCACTGGACATGCATTCGCTGCTTTAAGGTGGTCCCTGAGGCAGCCCAGCCTCCTGGAATAGCGCCCGACATACAGTCGGCTCTAAATACATAGCAGTTGTTGGTGTTCTTATTTGCATCTCACTGAATCCTCCCACTTTTCTGAGGAGGAAACTATTATTATTCCCCACTTTACAGATGAGGAAACTGAGGCACAGAAGTGAAGTCACTGGTCCTTAACCACTACCCATCCCTGCTTGGGAAGTATGGCTGCTGACTCTTTTGGGGAGACTCAGCCAGGAGTGTCTTTCTTCTGCCTCCTCCTCTGATCCCTCACACTTCCAAAGGAGCCTAACAGGCATCGTGTCAGCATGAAGGAAGAGCAATGTGTTAATCGGGGGCGGATTTACAGGCTTTGTTAGTGTCCAACAGCCTGAGACCACTGGTTCTTGGCTGATGGACCGGAAGTGCATTTCCCCAGGAATTTAGCCTGACTTTCCACTCACTAAGGCTTAAAGCAAACACCTTTAGCACCCAATTATCCTTCAAAATAAAAGCATCCTATCACAGCTAATAGAAACAGTGACTGTTCCCAGAACACCCATTCTGTGGCAGACACATTTCTCAGCACTTGGCAGATGGTAACTTATCTGATTCTGACATCAACCCAGTGAGGTAGGTACCTCATTCCCACTCAGGAGGTGAACAAAGAGAAATGCAGGTAACTCTCCCGCCCAAAGCCAAGAGAGTCCCGGGCAGGGCTGGCAGGGAACCAGGCAGGCCGCCGTGGAGTCAGGCACTGCCTTACTGATCACGGCAGGAAGTGGCAAATCAAGGAGGGCTGGGAAGGGTTTGAATCCCTTGAAACCTATATTGTTTTCCTGTAGCTGCCCTCACAAGTTACCACAACTTGGGTGGCTTGAAACAACAGAAATTTATTTTCTCCCAGTTGCAGAGGCCGGAAGTCCCAACCCAAGGTGTTAGCAAGAGTCGTGCCCCTCCCCAGGCTCACAGGGAGAACCCTTCCTTGGGTCTGTGGGGGTTCCCTGGTGGCTCTGGGGGTTCCCTGGCTCGTGGCCGCGTTGCTCTGCTGGCAGTCTGTGTCTTCGTGTGCCCATCTCTGTGTGCCTGTGTCTTCTCTCCTGGCTCTCCTCAGGGCACTCGGCATTGGCTCATCCAGGGTGATCTCATCCTGGGCCGTTACCCAGCTATGTCTGCAAAGACCCTTGTTCCAAATATGGTCATATTCTGAGGTTTGGGTGGATATGTTTTTTGGGGACCACCAGTCAACCCACTACAAGACCATTAGGCCCATTTTACAAATATGGAAACTAAGGCCCAAGGGGTGAGGTCACATAGATTTTCAGTATCAAGCAGGAGCTTGAACTAGGTCTGCCCTCTCCGAGTGTACCCTCTGAAGGATGACCTCTCTGCCTGCCAGGTGGACGGTGTGGACATGAGGCTGCCTGTGGTGCTGGCCCAGGGCAGGGTCCGCGCCTCCCAGCATGGCTCGGATGTTCTGATTGAGACTGACTTTGGCCTGCGTGTGGCGTATGACCTCCTGTACAATGTGCGGGTCACTGTCCCCGGCAACTACTACCAGCAGCTGTGTGGCCTGTGTGGGGACTACAATGGCGACCCCAAGGACGACTTCCAGAAGCCTGACGGCTCACAGGCAGGCAGCCCCAATGAGTTTGGCAACTCCTGGGAGGAGGCTGTGCCGGGCTCTCCCTGCGCACCGCCACCCACCTGCAGGCCAGGAGATGACTGCAGCGTGGAGCTCGAGTGTAAACCTGAGCTGCAGGAGAAGTACAAGCAGCAGAAGTTCTGTGGGTTCCTCACCAGCCCCACTGGGCCGCTGGCCCCCTGCCATAAGCTGATCGATCCCCAGGGGCCCTTGCAGGATTGCGTCTTTGATCTCTGCGTGGGTAGTGGGAACGAGAGCATCCTCTGCAGCAATATTCAAGGCTATGTGAGTGCTTGCCAGGCAGTTGGAGGCCACATTGGACCCTGGAGGACCGACTCTTTCTGTCGTGAGTAAGGGGCAGATAAGGAGAAGACCGAGGGGCAGGGAGAGCGGGAGCTGAGGCACGGAAGGGGCAGTCCCTGGGCCCTGCAGCCTCTCCCTCCAAGAGGCTCTAATGAGCACCCCCTCTTTGCAGCAATGAAGTGCCCCCCCAATAGCCACTATGAGCTCTGTGCAGACACCTGCTCCCTGGGCTGCTCTGCACTCAGTGCCCCCCCACAGTGCCCGGAGAGCTGTGCTGAGGGCTGCCAGTGTGACCCCGGCTTCCTCAATGATGGCCAGGCCTGTGTGCCCATCCAGAAATGTGGCTGCTACCACAATGGTGTCTACTATGAGGTAGGAACCTGCTCATCCAGGCAGAGCCCCATCTGTACCCCTCCCACTGCCCAGCAGCCCCACAGCCTGTCCAGTTGGCATCCTGAATCTCTCCCACCCACCCTGCTTCCCCTCTGTGGTCAGTTTGTCTTCTCCCACCTGGTTCCCTCCCAGCCCTCGCTCCCTCTGGTCCACCTTTCCCATGGCAGCAGGGAAGACCTTTCCAAATATGTCCACGAGTCCTGAAACTTTAACCTCCCCAGGTCAAGTTTTGACTTTGTATCCAGGTCTAGATTCTGTGTTATATCAGCAGCTAACTTCCTTTGCTTCCCTCTTCCACTAACAGTTTCTCCTTTTCCTTTGATTTGAGTGTACATTTGTCTCCAGTCTGTCTCCCTCAAAGGATTTCGAGCTCTGCGAGGGCAGGGATCCTGTCTATTGTCCTTCTCATGTGAATAATAGTAATAATAGCAAATAGGTAAATGGTGCTTACTATGTGCTGGCTACTCCTTTAGGTGCTATAGGTATAAATGCATTACATATATATAAAAACATTTTGTTATGAAAATTGTCAAGCATGCAAAAGTCAAGAGAATGATGTAATAAATTTCCCTGGACTCATCACTGAACTTCAAAAATAACCAACATTTTCCCAGTCTTGGTTCATCTGTACCCCCATTTCCTCTACAATCTGGTTTCTTTAAAGGAAATCTTCCCATTTCATCTGCACTTTATATGTACTATTAACTAAGAAAGTTCTACTTTCTTAGGTAAGTGCTATTATTACCTGCAACTTACAGATGGAGAAGTTGAGGTATAAAGAGCTTAGGTATTTGCACAGAGTAATATAACTTGGAAATAGCAGAAATAGGCTTCACACCCAGGCAATCTGCTCCAGGACCTTTGTTCTCAATTACTGTTACACATTTCTCCTATACAGCAGACCTTTAGTGGCTATATTGGAATAAAGGAATGAGTAAATGAATGAAAGTGAATGGATGAATGAGTTGGACCCTAAGGCCATGTTGTGCCTCATTTTCACTAAGAAGGGGCCACCCTGCTAAAAGATGTCCCTTTTATGTCCTCCGGACCCCTCTGTCTATGCCTGGAGAGCAGAGATGCCCAACTCAGCTCCCTCCCTGACAGCCACGCCCTCTGTCCCCACAGCCAGAGCAGACAGTGCTCATTGACAACTGCCAGCATCAGTGCAGGTGCCATCCTGGAGAAGGCATGGTGTGCCAGAAGCACAGCTGCAAGCCGGAGCAGGTGTGCCAGCCCTCAGAAGGTGTCCTGAGCTGCATCACCAAAGGTGTGGGGCTGGGGCAGGGACCAGTGTGACTGGGAACAGGGGACAAGGACTCTGGAGCTGAGGGTGGTGTGACCCAGATCTTCACAGTGGGAGGCACAGAGGGCTAAGCATTGAGGTCTCAGCCCTGGGCTGTGCTTCCCAGGGTCAGTCAGGGTCAGGTGCTTCCAGGCTGGGAGCAGGAACCCTTATGGCGGAATCCAGTCTCCACGGACCAGGGCTGGGTTTTCCGGGGCAGATGGCAGAGACCTGTGGTGTACGGCAGGAACAGGCAAACTTTTTCTCAAAGGGCCACATGGTAAATATTTAAACTTGGGGGCCATAGAGTCTTGGTTACTGCTACTCAACTCTGCCACTGTGGCATGAAGTCAGCCGTAGACTAGAAAGTGAGGAAGGGAGGCATAAAAACCTCCCAGTACTTACAAAAGCAGGCACCTGGCAGTTTGCTGACCACAATATTCAGAATTAGGCTTGGGGCTTCAGACACCATTCCCAAAGGGCAGAGGAGACTGGGACCCCCAGCGACAGGAACAGAAAACAGTCCTCATGTCCCAGGCAGAGACGCCATCCAGGTAGGGGTCTGGGACTCAGGGACCCCTCAAATGGAAAATCAGGATTTATAGGGATACAATTTCAGACATGGCACCACTTCAGGTTACATCTAAGACACAGAGCCATCCCCCCAGGGACTTGCTTCTTGAGATTAAAGGCAAAGAATAATTTCTTTATCCCAGGAATGTGGGAATGGGACCTCCAGAACTGAGACCCTCAAAGTTATGAGCAGGATAACAGGGACCCACAGGGATGGGGCCATATCAGTCTGAGTCCAATCAGAAGACAGAAACCACACCATAGCTGCAATAAGGAAAGTTTAATATAAAGAATCCTTATGATCAGGGATTGACTTCCAAGGGGTTAAAAAGAATGTGAAGGAACACAAGAAGAGCAGATAATAGGGAGCAACCCCTGCCCCCAAGGCTAAAGCAGAGCACCCAAGGAAGGGAGGACTTGGGAAGAGGACCCCACCCCAAGCCCGGGAGGCAGATCTCAATGGAGGGATGGAGAGAGGTTGTGCAGGCTGGAGCTGGCAGGCAGGAAAAGCCCCACTGCGGTGCTGGTGAAACTCACTGGGAAGCTGCCTGCCAGGGCACCCCAGTGGCTCACTGGGAAGCCAGCTGGGGCCAGCGGACCTCGCTGAGTGGGTGTCCCCCTCACCCCTGATAGACCACTGTCCCCGCTGGCCAGCAGCAGCAGGAGAGCCTGAGCATACTGGGCACAGGAGAAGCCCCTTCCTCCTGCCGTGACCTACCTACCTTCCCTCCACTGACGAAGCCTAACTATCACTGAGCTTGGAGCTGAGAGGCAATAAATTGAAAACTGGCACGGGGAGAGAGGAGGAAGTTTTAAGGCTAGGCTCTTGGGCATAGGGGTTCCAAAAACTGGGATCACAGATACAGTGGCCCTAGGAACAGAGTATTGGACAAAGGGACCCTTGGAAGTAGGGCCTCAAAAATGAGATCCTCAAAGCTAGGGTCTCAAATGTTGGGATCTCTGGGGTTAGGTTCTCACCATAAAGTTTCTCCAGTACCTTGCTCTTGGACATAGACACCTCCAACACCTGGTTCTCAGATGTGGTGGCCCCAGGAAGCTGGGAGCTCAGGCATGGGGTGGCCTGGGGCCCAGGTCTTGAACACAGAGAGCTCGGGGGCTGTGGATGCCCTCATGGATGCCCTCAGAGTTGGCACTGCAGACACAGAGACTCCTGAATCTCTGGTCTCATACCTGGGACCCCTAGGGCTGAGATTTCAAGCAAGGGACTGCAGGGCTCAGTTCCGACAGAGATCCTGGAGCCTCAGTCCCTGCTGCGACGACCTTGGGATCTGGGTCACAGATAGCAAACTGCAGGCTTGAGTCTCAGATGTAGAGACCTTTAATGGAGCCATAGACATAGTCTAACAAATTCAAATATACACGGCTCCCAGGGCCTGGTCTCAGAATCAGCAAACAGCAGGGCCTGTGTCTCAGGTGTGAGGACTCTGGGATCTGGTCGGCTCTGCAGCAGCCCTCAGAGCCAGTATCCCTGACACAGGCTGGGGCAGGTGCTGGGGAGCAGCTGGCCTCATCCTGGGCAGCCCCTCAAGGTCCTCGCTCCTCTGCTACAGACCCATGCCACGGTGTGACGTGTCGGCCACAGGAGACATGCCACGTGAAGGATGGCCAGGGCGTGTGCGTGCCCAACTATGTGGCCACATGCTGGCTATGGGGTGACCCACACTACCACTCCTTCGATGGCCGGGACTTTGACTTCCAGGGAACCTGCAACTACGTGCTGGTGGCAGCCGGCTGCCCAGGGGTCAGTGCCCAGGGCCTGACACCCTTCACTGTCACCACCAAGAACGAGAACCGGGGCAACCCTGCTGTGTCCTACGTAAGGCTTGTCACTGTGACAGTCTACAACATCAACATCTCCATCCACAAAAACGAGATCGGCAAAGTCCGGGTACGTCTCACAGTGTGGTTCCCTGAGCCCCCCAGTAGGGCAGTAGGGGTGCTGCTGGCCACAGTTAGGAGCACGACACTCCCTCTCCATCTAGTCTGAAAAAAAATGGCAGCAAAAGCAGTCCTAATTACAGCAAAAACATCACCTTCACTTGGGACTTAAGCAGGCCCAGCCCTTTGCTAGGAGCTTTAACATAGGACGTCAGCATCTTCTGCCTGTTAGAGACATGGGTTTGAATCCAGGCTCTCCTTATGAGCTGTGTGATTTTGGGCAAGTGACTTGACTTGGTGGGCGTCAGTTCCCTCAGCTGTGCAGTGAGGAGTGTAGCAGGCCCTGCCCCACAGTGAGGTGGTGCACATGAAGTGCGCAGCTGAGAGTCTGACCCGGGTGAGCACCCAGGAATGTTTGTAAGGGAACAGATGAGGGGCCCAGAGACTCCAACACAGGGAAATTCAGGGAGATGAGGAGGAAAGAATGATGGGCCGCCCTTTCTGCCCAGGGTAATGGAGATGCAGACTAATTGGAGCCCAAGGGGAAAGAGTGAGGGTTGGAACAGGGCAGGCATTCAATAAATGAGAGAAAGAGATGTCTAGACACACAGAGATGCATGGGAGGAAGGACGCAGACGGAGAAAAACCCAGAGGGATGGACCGAGAAAGAGACCTTGGAAGACCCAGGGAGAACTCACACACACGCACAGTGCACAGAGCAAGAGAGTGCTCAAGTGAGAGAGACGCAGGGCAGGGGGACCCAGACAGAGAGATCTAGATGCAAAGAGCGGGAGAGACAACAGTGAGAGACAGAGAGAGAGGAAGCAAGGGAGATGGTGATGGAGAGAGACCTGCAAAAAGAAGCAGAGTGAGGTTTCATTCTCCAGGGCCTGGACTACAGCAAATAGCCATGTTTGTCAAGTGACTATACAACCATCATTTAAGAGGAAACCTGGGTAGCTCCCAGCTGCAGGGCCTCCCCACCTGAGTGACCACTCTTTGCCTCCCTTCCCCCTCTTCCCCCAGGTGAACGGTGTGCTGACATCACTGCCAGTTTCCGCAGCCGGTGGGAGGCTTTCAGTGACCCAGGGTGCATCTAAAGCTGTGCTGGCAGCCGACTTTGGGCTTCAGGTCACCTATGACTGGAACTGGCAAGTGGAGGTGACACTGCCCAGTAGCTATCACGGCGCAGTGTGTGGACTCTGTGGGAACATGGACCGCAACCCTAGCAATGACCATGCCTTCCCGAATGGCACCCTGGCTCCCTCCATACCCATCTGGGGTGGCAGCTGGCGAGCCCCAGGCTGGGACCCACTATGCTGGGACGAATGTCAAGGGTCCTGCCCAATATGTGCTGCAGACCAAATGGAGGAATATGGGGGCCCTGGCTTCTGTGGACCCCTAGCCCCTGGCATGGGAGGCCCCTTCGCCACCTGCCATGCCCACGTAGCACCTGATAGCTTCTTCAAGGGCTGTGTTCTGGATGTCTGCCTGAGCGGTGGGGCACAGGACACACTGTGCCAGGCTTTGGCTGCGTACGCCGCTGCCTGCCAGGCTGCTGGGATTACCATTAAGGACTGGAGAGAGCAGGCCGGCTGTGGTGAGTGTGGAGGCAGCAGAGCAGGAGCTTGCTGGGGCAGGGGTGGGGGGGCTGTCTCCAAGGGACTGTTTTGGTTTCACTCCAGTCCTGGGTCTCTCTGTTCATTTCCTTCCCTCTCTGTCTCTCTATTTTTCTCTCTCAGTCTCTTGGCACTTATCTCTGTGTCTCCCTTTGATTGTCTCTTGTCTATTTTGCATTCTCTCTCCCCCTGTCTCTGGGTCTTTCTTTGTCTCTCCCTCTCTGTCTCTATATCTGTCCCTCAGTCTCTCCCTGTCTCTGTCTTCTCCCACCCTATCCTCGGACCCCACGCCCTAACACCATTCTCTCTTTCTCTCTCTTCCACTCTTTCATCTACCCACAGAGATCTCCTGCCCTGAAAACAGCCACTATGAGCTCTGTGGCACCCCCTGCCCAGCCAGCTGCCCCACCCCTGCGCCCCCCACGACCCCAGCCTCATGTGATGGTCCCTGCACAGAGGGCTGCCAGTGCAACTCAGGCTTCGTGTTGAGTGCCGACCGCTGTGTTCCCCTGGATGGTGGCTGTGGCTGCTGGGCCAATGGCACCTACCATGAGGCAGGCAGCGAGTTTTGGGCCGATGCCACCTGCTCCCAGTGGTGCCACTGTGGGCCCGGGGGTGGCTCACTGGTCTGCAAGCCTTCCAGCTGCGGACAAGGTGAAAAGTGTGCCTTGCTGCCCTCAGGCCAGCATGGCTGTCACCCTGTCAGCACGGCTGAGTGTCAGGCCTGGGGTGACCCCCATTACACCACCTTGGATGGGCACCGATTCGACTTCCAAGGTGCCTGCGAGTACCTGCTGAGTGCACCCTGCCAAGACCTGCCCACAGGAGCAGAGAACTTCACTGTCACTGTAGCCAACGAGCACCGGGGCAGCCAGGCCGTCAGCTACACCCGCAGTGTCACCCTACACATCTACAGCCACACACTGACACTCAGTGCCCAGTGGCCCCGTCAGCTGCAGGTGAGCAGCCTGGGGTGCAGACAGGAGCATGCACCAGCCCTGGGGTGGCCTGGGACAGTTAGGGGCCTGCCACTCCCTTGGTTACATTTCACAGGTTAGCAGTTATGGTGCTCCAGAGCATAGGCTTTGGAGCCTGAAAGCAGTAGCTTCCCCACCTCTGAGCCTTAGTTTATTCCTCTGTAAAATGGGTCCAAGGAAAGTACCTTCCTCAGAGGATAGTGTGAAGAGCCAATGACATAAAGTCTACAGATGCTCATTATTATTACTACCATCATTACTGGTACTACTACCGTTATCACAAGGGGGAGGTCACGTGCACAGGGTTCCAGCCCACCTCATAGGTGGTGTAGTCAAAATTAAAACTTGTGTCCGTGCCCTTCACTGACCCCTGCTCCGCGCCTGCAGGTGGACGGCAAGCTCGTGGCGCTGCCTTTCGAGCTGGACTCGAGCCTGCGCGTGCACCTGAGCGGCGCCGACGTGGTGGTTTCAGCCTCCAATGGGCTCTCGCTGGCTTTCGACGGGCAGAGCTTCGTGCGCCTGCGCGTGCCGGCGACGTACGCGGACACTCTTTGTGGCCTGTGCGGGAACTACAACCAGGACCCAGCCGATGACCCGAAGGCGGTGGGCGCGAACCCCGGCCGCTGGCAGGTGGGCGGTGCCGCAGGCTGCGGGGAGTGCGTGCCTGGGCCATGTCCGCAGCCGTGCACGCCGGGGCAGCAAGAGCCCTTCCGTGGCCCCGATGCCTGCGGCGTGATCTCGGCCCCCGACGGCCCACTGGCACCCTGCCACGGCCTCGTGCCACCCACGCAGTACTTCGAAGCCTGCTTGCTGGATGCCTGCCAGGCTCAGGGCCATCCGGGAGGCCTCTGCCCTGCTGTGGCCGCCTACGTGGCACTCTGCCAGGCCGCTGGGGCCCAGCTTGGCGAGTGGAGGCGACCCGACTTCTGTCGTGAGTACTGACGCATGCATGGCCCCCACAGTGGGGGTCTCCCTCTCCCAGCTTCACAGCGCTGTCAGAGAAGCACCTTCTCCCCGGGGCTTAGGCACCACCCTGCGTTCCCTGTCAGGTATCTCCTGTCAGAGGAACACTTTTGCAGTCACGCACTGAAATACACCAGGTCACATACTGCACTGGGACAGACTCAAGGACACCTGGCAGGAACCCTGGGTCCAGTACACTCTAGGGGATTCACACACTCAGCTGCCCCGTCATATAGGCTGGGGTGGCTGGCTCTGTCAAAGCCACATAGTGAGATCCACCAGGTCAAGTAGATTCTCTCAGGTACCCCTGGTCAGAGAGACCTGGAGAGTGACACTTGGTGAGATGCCTCTAGTCTGTTTCACGTGCTGAGATACACAGGGTCAGAAAAAAGTAGTCTGCTTACCTCAGACAGGAACTCCTCTGGTTAGAGATGCCTGGTCAGATTTACACTGACACGCCCTTGGGCAGATATACCCAGGTAGAATCATGACCCTGACTTAGGCCCAGGCAGATGCATACAGACTCAAGGTCACATAGTCCTGGGCACTTCCCGTGAGGCAGATCTCCTCCATCAAATTTATCCTGTCAGCTCCACCCAGTCAGATACACTCATTCAGAGCCACACGCTGACACAGACCTGTCAGAGAAACTCAGAGGCTCCAGCTTAGGCATCCACAGCCAGATATACTCAGATGGCTTTATTTTGCAAGATACATTGGGCCCCACACCCCAGTAAGATCCACTCCCTGAGGTACCCACAGTTGGTTCTAACCCTGCATATCTTGGTCAGATATATATGGTCAGATTCCCCCCAGTCAGATACACTTGATCTTTAGAAATACTTGGTCAGGTTGACACACAACTGATCAGAGACCTGGTCCCCAGATCCTGAGTCCCCCAGTTAGGGATATTGGATCAGACACCCCGCCCAGATCCCTGGACAGATTCACTCATGAAATCTGCTCAGACAAAACACACAGATTCACCGGAACAGGCTGTCCTGCTGTGCACCTCCCCTGCCCCCCTCCCTGTGCCTGCCTGGCTCATTCCCCCTTGTCCCCACAGCCCTCCCGTGCCCTGCCCACAGCCACTACAAGCTCTGTGGTGACTCCTGCCCTGTGAGCTGCCCAAGCCTCTCAGCACCAGAGGGCTGTGAGCCCACCTGCCGTGAAGGCTGTGTCTGCGATGCCGGCTTCGTGCTCAGTGGTGACACCTGTGTACCTGTGGGCCGCTGTGGCTGCCTCCACGAGGGCCGCTACTACCCACTGGGCGAGTCCTTCTACCCAGGCCCTGAGTGTGAGCGGCGCTGTGAGTGTGGGCCGGGCGGCCACATCAGCTGCCAGGAGGGTGGGGCCTGCAGGCCCCATGAGGAGTGCCGGGTTGAGGGCGGTGTCCAGGCCTGTCACCCTACAGGCTGTGGCCGCTGCCTGGCCAACGGAGGTGTCCACTACGTGACCCTTGATGGACGTGTCTATGACCTGCATGGCTCCTGCTCCTATGTCTTGGCCCAAGTCTGTCGCCCACAGCCTGAGGATGAGAACTTTGCCATTGTGCTTGAGAAGAATGCGGCTGGAGATCCCCAGCGCCTGCTGGTTACTGTGGCAGGCCAGGTTGTGGACCTGGCTCGGGGGCCAAGAGTAAGTGAGCATGGCCATGTGCATGGAGGCTGAACGGGCATGGCCCTGTCCTAGGGTCTCTGAGGAGGACAGGGTCCCCCCACCCCGGGGGGTTTTGAGGGAGATTGATCCCACCTCAAGGGGCCTGAGGGGAACACAGCCCCCCTTTGGGGTCTGAGGGGGATATAGCGCTGCCTTGGGGGCTCGTCTGAGGGTGATATGGTCTCACCCCAAAGGTACTGAGAAAGACACAGCCCACCTTTGGAGTCTTAGGGGGATATAGTGCTGCCTTGGGGGCTCTGTGGGGCATATGGCCCTGCCTTGGGAAGTCTGAGGGTGGTATGGTCTCACCCCAAAGGTACTGAGAAAGACACAGCTCCACTTTGGGAGTCTGAGGGGATGGCCTTAGCTTTAGTTCTGGGAGTCCCTGACCCACTTGACCCTTTCATCCAGGTCACTGTGGATGGTGAGGCCATGGCCCTGCCTGTGGCTGTGGGCCACGTGCGGGTGACCTCTGAGGGCCGGAACATGGTTCTGCAAACGACCAAGGGGCTGCGGCTTCTTTTTGATGGCGATGCCCACATCCTCATATCCATCCCCAGCCCCTTCCGTGGCCGGCTCTGTGGTCTCTGTGGGAACTTCAACGGCAATTGGAGTGATGACTTTGTCCTGCCCAGTGGTGCCGTGGCCCCCAGCGTGAATGCCTTTGGAGCTGCGTGGCGGGCACCTGGCTCCTCCCAGGGCTGTGGTGAGGGCTGTGGGCCCCATGGCTGCCCCGTGTGCTCAGCGGAGGAGACAGCGCCATATGAGAGCACGCAGGCTTGCGGGCGGCTGCGGGACCCCCATGGCCCCTTTGCAGCCTGCCATGCAGCACTGAGCCCCTCTGAGTACTTCCGCCAATGCGTGTATGACCTGTGTGCGCACAAGGGCAGCGGCACGGTTCTCTGCAGCAGCCTGGCAGCCTACACAGCGGCCTGCCAAGCGGCCAGCATGGCCGTGAAGCCCTGGAGGACAGATAGCTTCTGCCGTGAGTGTCCGTGGGCCCCTTGGAGGCCTCCAGGCCAGGCTTGGGGATGCCCTGACCAGCTCCCTGCCCTGTCTGCCTCCCAGGAGCAGTCCCTCCCTATTGAAGGGCTCTCCGGCTTCACCCACAGCACCCCCGGGCCACCTCCTGCCCTGCCAACTGGCCCTTCTCAGTTCTTCCCAGGGGCCCACTCTCCTGAAATCTCAGACACAGCTCTTCCTCCGGGCTCATCCCAAAGCCTTTCTGTGGTGACCTGGGAGGGCGGGTCAGGCAGGTCAGAAACTCTCACAATAAAGCCTGAGTCTGTGGCTCCCCCAGACTCCGCAGGACAAAGCTGCAGCCTCCTCAAAATGCCAGTGCAGAATTCTACCCCGATCAGAGGGTGTCTATTTCCTTCAAACCCCCAGGGCAGCACCGTGACCCTCAGACTCTGTAGGACAAGGCAGTGGCCTCCCAGGCCCCCAGGGCAGGGCCATGTCTCCATTTTCCTCAGAGCAGGACATCCATCCAGAGCCTCATCCACCTCGGTAGCCTTGGGTTTGTCCTCACTGCTGACAGTGGATGCTGTCTGTCTCCAGCCCTGACCTCTTTCCTGACTGCCGGCCTCAGGGGTCCAGTAGCCTCCTGGACACTTTCCCCTGGGTATCCTTAGGGTCCCTTATACCCACTGTGTTTTCATATGATGTCAGCATTTCACCCCAAACCTGGGCTCCTATTCCCAATCCTGGTCCTCATCTTGGGGCAGCCACATCATCCCCAGAGCCCAGACCTCCCCTGGCTACTTCCCTGGGTCCTCACCACTCCCTGCTTTTGTCCCATCCTGGTCCTGACCCTTCTGCCTGTTCTTCCCCAGTGCAGGCCTGATCATGCTGGGCTGTCACTATCTGTCCCACTGATAAGAGCTACAAAGGGCAGGGCCTGGGCCTGACTTTCTCACTTGTGTCCCCAGCATTGCCAACCCAGAGCTGGGTGTGGGTCTGCCCATTCTCTGTTCGGTGCCCATGTGCAGGCATGAGCCCCCCTCCTTCCTCTGCAGCGCTCCAGTGCCCGGCCCACAGCCACTACTCCATCTGCACGCACTCCTGCCAGGGCTCCTGTGCAGCTCTCTCTGGCCTGGAGGGCTGTACCTCGCGCTGCTTTGAGGGCTGTGAGTGCGACGACCGTTTCCTGCTCTCCCAGGGCTTATGCATCCCCGTCAAAGATTGCGGCTGCACACATGGTGGCCGGTACCTGCCGGTGAGCAGGGGCTTGAGGTGGGCCAGGTGGGTGGGTGGTGGACTGAGGGAGTCTCAGAATTTCTATGCTGATCCCCTCAAGGATGGAGAGAGACAAGCCGTCGCCATTTCCCAGATGCATGATTCAATGATGGTAACATCCCTGTATTTGTTTCCTGTGGCTCTTGTGACAAATGACCACAAACAGTGGCTTAAAACAACAGAAATGTACTCTCCTACTCTTCTGGAGGCTAAAAGTCAGAAATCAGTATCATTGGGCCAAAGTCCAGGTGCTGGCAGGGCAGCACTCCCTCCTGAGGCTGTAAGTGGGGAATCTGTCCCCCACTTTTCCCAGCTTTTGGTGGCTGCAGGCATTCCTCGGCTTATGGCCCCATCACTCCAATTTCTGCTGCCATGTCACATTCCCCCCTCCTCTTCTGTATGTGTCATAAAATTTCTGTCTTATAAAAGGATGGCAGTTAAGGCCCACCCACAAAATCCAGAATAATCTCTCCATTGCAAAATCCTTAATTCAGTCACATCTGCAAACACCCTTTTTCCACATAAGGCAGCAATTACTGGTTCTAGGCGTGAAGACCTTGGTATCTTGGGGAAGTCATTATTCAGCCTACTACAGTTTGCTCTCTGAGCCTTATTTTCTTAATCTGTAAAATGGGGTTAAGCATCCTTGCAACGTATATGTCTGAGTATTGGGCGCCATTATGCAGGTAAGACACCCACTGAGCCCTGTGCCTCCATCCATGTTCATCACACTCAGTAAAAATAATGGCAACTTACAACAGTTCAATAGGTTGTGCAGGTAACAAACATTTCATAACATGAATTCAAGTTAATCATTGATTTACTTTTGTGATTGATACATTTGGAGCCCTTACTAGGCACCAAGTTTGTTTCAAAACTGAATTCATTTAATATGCAATGCTATGAGACAGGTACTATTGAGATTTTCCCCATTTAATGGGTGAGGAAATTGCAACTAAAGAGAAGTCCACCCAATACTACATATTAGCAAGCGATGCTGGGATCCGCACCCCAGCGGCCTGGGGCCCACCCTCTGAGTCACTAGACATCCTACTTCTTCAACAGCATATTTATCAAATAAGAAAATATGGATTACCACATCCCATCCCTATTCATCCGAGCTTTATTAATGGCAGAAAACTAGGTCGAGGACTTCTGGGAAAGGAAGGTCTCAACCACCTACAGGAAGCCCTCTCTGATCTAGACTGGGTGAGGTGCCTCTCTGGACTCCCACAGTCCCCTGTGCTTTCCCCATCCCAGCCCGGACCCCTCTGCCTGTGCTGGAAGGTTTTCTGGATTTGTGAGACAGGCAATCAGGGGAGGGAGAGCTGGGCTGGAGATACAATGTGGGAGTCATCAGGAGAGAGATGGGATTTATTTGTTTTATTACATTCATGTCTTTTAAGGTGTTCAAACGTTTATTTTCAAAAAATTCAAACTTAAGAAAAGTTGGAAGAATAGTACAAAACACTTCTGCATACCCTTTACGTGGGCTCTTCAACTCTTGACCTTTCAACATGTTTGCTTTATCATCCTCTTTACATAAATACGTGGCATATTTTTTCTAAACTATTTGAGAGTATGATGCAGACATAGTACCTCTTTACCCATAATACTTTAGCTTGGATTGCCTAAGAACAGGGAAATTGGTTTATCTGACCATAGTACAATTCAAAATTAGGAAATCAACACTGATTCAATACTATTATCTAAAGGTTTTCTTTGAATTCCACCAGTTGTCCCAATAATGTCCTCTGTAACAATTACCCATCCCCCTGGGCCAGTGTCCAGTTGAGGACATTGCCTTTAATTTTCATGACATTTGATGAGATAGAGATAGATTTGATAAAGATAGGAAAGATAAAGTTCCAAGGACTGAGCCCTGGGCAGGGCGGCTTCAAGGACTTGGGGAGCTGAGGAGGAACTTGAAAATGCAGTGAAGAAAGAACCGCCAGTCATGGAGGAGAAATCCAAGAGGAAGTCCTTTCCTGAAGCTGGGTCTCCAGGGCCCTGCATTCTGTGCTGTGGGTGCCAGGACTCCAGGATCTCTCCAGTGCCTGCCCCTAAGTGTATCAGTTAGCTTTTGCTGGGTTACAAATCATCCCAAAACATAGTGCTCACAGCAACTATTTGTTTCGTTCACAGTTCTGTAACTCTGCGCTTTGGACTGGGCTCCGCTGGGTGGTTCTGCCATCCCACGGGCTTTTGCCCATGTCTGTAGTCGCCCAGTGGGTCAGCTGAGGGCTGGCTGGTCTGGAGTGGTGTCAGCTGGGATGACTGTCTCTCTTCCACGGGATCTCTCATCCTCCAGCAGCCTGGGCCTTGCCTGTTTTCACGGTGGCTGCGCAGGGTTCAGAGAAAGAGAGAGAGGACCCGAAAGGTCTCTTGAGCTCTAGGCTTGAGCCTGACCCAGCACTGCTTCTGCATTGTAATGACCAAAGCATAGCTTTAAGGCCAGCCTGGATTCATGGGCAAGGGAAATGAGTTCCATTTCTTAGTGGGCATTGCTGCAAAGTCATTTCACATGGATGCAGAGGGTGGAAGGATTGTGCCCTTGTTAGAACCCACCACACCACTGCAGCCCGGTGCCTTTGTGTGCACAGGTCAGCTCCTCCCTGCTGAGCTCAGACTGCAGCGAACGCTGTTCCTGTTCCTCGAGCACCGGCCTGACATGCCAGACAGTTGGCTGCCCACTAGGCCAAGTATGTGAGGTCCAGGCTGAGGCCCGAGGCTGCTGGGTCCCCGACGGTCTCTGTTACCTCTCTGCGGGTGCCAACCTCACCACTTTCGACGGGGCCCACAGTACCATCCGCTCCCCCGGCATCTACGAGCTCTCTTCCCGCTGTCCAGCACTACAGAAGCCCTTCCCCTGGTACCGAGTGGTCGCTGACATCCACCCCTGCCATGGCAAAGGTGAAGCTGTGGGCCAGGCTCACATCTTCTTCCCAGATGGGCTGGTGACCGTGAACCCAAACAAGGGCGTATGGGTAAGCCTGGGCACAGGGGCATGTCTCCCAAGGCTTTGGTCTTCCTGTTGAGGTGTTCCTACAATCCCCACTGCCCATCTGTCTCATTTGTTTTCTTTACCCAGCTCTCTGCACTTGTATTTGTCTCAGTATTTCAAACTTAGTCCCTCTGTGCTGACTGCATTATTGAGGAGCAAAACCACACTCAAGTAACTTACTAGTTTTGATAAGTAGTGTTAATTGAGACTATTGGTTGCAAGTGACAAAAAACCAAAATCAAGCTGCCTTGAGCAAAAGGAATTTATTGGTCCACATAAATACCAAATTTCTGAGAAAGGGCATCTGGCCTGAGGGGCTTAATGCTGACTCATAGTCTCATCATTCGTGGCCCATGTGGTAGAGCTTAAGACCCAAACACAGGCATCTGTCTGCAGAAAAGTTCCCAGATGAGCATGTCTCTATTTCCATGACTTGTTTACTGACTGCTGAGACGTCCACTGGTGTCTTCTGGGTCCAGTGAGGAGATTAACAGCCAATGCTCCACAACTACCCCACACGCTCCTCTCCTGCTGGATGGCCTACATTCTTCCGCCAATGCGTGGAGATGCTTCCAAACTCCCTGTAAGCACGGGGCTTGAGTTCGCTCCTTCGTGTAAGCTGAACCAACCACTCTTTTTCTCTGGCCACCTGCTCGATCCATAATTCAGGTTAAGAGACATTTACTCTTGGTCTCCCCTTGTTCCTCTTTCAAGAAACAATTCTTCACAGCAGATTAGATGCTCTAGAAATGTGAATCAGATCAGGTCATTCTGCTGCTTAAAATGCTACAGTCGCTTCCCAGAATAGCATTCCAGACTCAGGCCACCTCCCTCCCAGGGCCTGCAAGGCCTTGTGTGAGCTGAGTCCTGCCGGCCTCTCTAACTCCATTTCCTATGACTCCTGCCCACAGTAGCTATGCTGACAGTGCGCCAAGCTGGCCTTTATGCTATTTGTACAGCAGACCAAGCTTGTTCCCGCCTTGGGGCCTTCCCGCTGCTGCCTTACGCTCCTGCCGGGCCGGCTCCTCATCCTTCAGGTCTCGGGCCCAGCCTCACTCCCACAGAGAGGCCCTCCCTGACTATCAACAGAAGCTCTCCCTCTCCATCTTACTCTCTTTTATTCCCTTCAGGGTACTCATCACTATCTGAAGTTACCCTCTAGTTCTTTATTTTGTTCTCTTTGTGTTTCCATGAGTTTTTTTTTCCTTATTGAAGTCTGGTTGATACACAACATTATATTGGTTTCAAGTATACAACACAGTGGTTCAACCGTTACCCACATGGGTAAATCCTCACCCCTGCTAGTGCGGTCACTATCTGTCAGCATAGGTAGATGGTACAGAACCATTGGCCACACACTTGTTCCCTGTGCTGGTTGCCTTTCTCCATCACTAGACTGCAATCCTCAGGCGGGCAGGGACCCTGTCCATCTTGGTCATCACTTTGTCCCTTACCCAGATGAGGGCCTGGCAATTAGAGGGCACCCAGGAAAAGTTTGGTTTTGTGAATACATTCAGGCCTGTGCCCTCTGCACCAGCCCATGTGCTGGGTGACACAGAGCAGTCAGACCCAGTTCTTATGCTTTGAAAGCTGGCGGCCCAGTGAAACTTTCCATCTCCATCTCCAACTCCAACTATCCCTCCCTGCCTCCACCCCTCTTTCTTCTCTCCCTCCTCCCAGCCATCTATTCTTCTACCTCCTTCCCTTTTTCCCCTCTCTCCCGCCATCCCTCCCTCCCCTCCTTCCTTCTTTCCCTCGGTCCATCTGACCATCCAGCCATCCATCTTTTCAGATCTACCTACTTACCTGTCCTTTTTACCTGTTTTTCCAATCATCTGGCAGAGTAAGACTCAGATACAAAAGCATTTAGAAGAAAATAAATTTTCTGTCAAAGAAGTTTCTTTAGGGAGTCTAACTTTAGAGGGATTTACTCATCTACTAAAACAGTTATTTAAAGGGCAAAACTCAACAGGGTTAGCAAGATGACTGAGTCCATAGCCTATGATAGAGAAACGGTAATTTTCTCACTTGAGTATCATACTTGCTGGGCTGTTACTTGTCTTCAGACATCAACCCCGAAAAGGAAAGGAATGAAGTTGCTTTTGTCGGAGAATCAGTAACAGGACATGCTCAAAGTTTCTTTTATTTTGAAAACTAGAACCAGACAGGATGACCCTGGGGTTTGATCGTTCATTTTTTGTCTGTCTATCTGGTACAAAGTGCTCACCCGGAGCCCCACCTGTGCTTGGAATGTTGTGTGCATGCCTCTCCGTCCATCCACTGTCCATCCTTCTATCCGTCCATCCAAATCTCCAACTACCTTGTGTCCCATCTCTCCATAGGGTGTATGCATCAGGTCTTTCTCTCCTTCATCACTTGCCTCTCTGCCTCTCCCCCTTGAACTTACCTTCCTTGGGGTCTCTGTCCTGGGGACACCCTAGTTCTCTTGTCGCTCTAGCCTCACCTCTGTTTTCCCACCACCACCACCACCAGGTGAATGGTCTCAAAGTGGACCTCCCAGCTGAGGTGTTAACCTCTGTGTCTGTGAGTCGGAATCCTGATGGCTCCGTGCTAGTCCGCCAGAAGGCCGGGGTCCAGGTGCAGTTTGACACCACTGGGCAGCTGGCTGTGATAGTCAGTGATGCCCACGCTGAGATGCTCTGTGGCATCTGTGGAAATTTTGACGGGAACCCGACCAACGATGTGCATGATTCCAACGAGAAGACACTGGAGAGCTGGAGAGCCCAGGACTTCTCCCCATGGTAACGGATGTAGCATGGAAGTCAGGCTACTTGGGGCAGGAGCACCTGGGTCCTCGTGGGAAGAGGGCAGTTGGGGCAGTGCTCAGTCTGCAAGGGGAAGAGCTAAGTGTCTGTCTCTTGCAGTCACAGCTGATCAGGCATCCCCTGGGAATAAGGACTTCAGGACCTGATCCCTCTGGAGGTTGCAGTAACTGAAGAACACACTATGTGCTCCAATCTTATTCTACCCCTTTGCTGAACCACTGAGGCTAGCCGTGAGAGCACTGAATAAATATATTAAGCTAAGCTGTACACCAATGTGTCTGTCTTCTGCCTTCTCTTCCTGACTCCTTGCTACAGTGTAGGTGCCAAATGCCTGGGGAATCTGGCACATGATGAATATTTATCAGGGGCTGAGAGGATGGATGGGTGGGTGGGTGGATGGCTGGATGGACACATAGCTGGGTGGACTGGGAGAGGGGTGTTTGGGGAAATGGGAAGATGGGAGAATGGGTGGATGAGAAGATGAATGACTAGATGGAGGGAAGGAGCTGATAATGGAAAGAGATCAATAGATTCTAGCTTTATCATTCTAACCCTAGCAAGTTAATTTCGCTGTCATTCAATTTCTTCATCTATCTTAGTACATATAGCTGCTATAACAAAATACTGTAGAATAGGACAGCTTATAAATAACAGAGATTGATTTCTCAGTTCTGGAGATTGGGAAGTCCAAGATCAAGATACCAGTGGACTTGGTGTCTGGTGACAGTCTTCCTGCTTCCCATATGACTCTTTTCCCGTGGGTCCTCGCATCACGGAAGGGCCAGGGAGTCCTTTAGGGGCCTCTTTCAGAAGGACACTGATTGTATTCATGAAGACTCCACCCTCGTGGCCTGATCACCTCCCAAAGACCCCACCTCCTAATACCATCACAGTGGGGATTAGTTTCCAATGTACGAATTTTGTGATGACACATTCAGTCAAAAGCTTCATATTTAAAGTAGAGTTAATGGTAGCACCCACCTCACAGAGCTGGAGTGAGGATTTAGTGTGTTCAAGCAATCCACAGTTCAAAAATTGAAGTCTCTTCTTCCCTTCCAAACCTGACCCCACCCTTCTCAAGACAGTCTTCCCTACTTCAGTGAATAGCACTCCCAACTCAGTCTAGCAGCTGGAAAATAGGGAATTATTCTTGATTCTGCCCTCTCGCCTTTGCCCTCTACTCAGTTCATCAACAAATCCTGTTGGAGTGTATCAAAACATACCTGAAAACTACCTGCCTGCCTTATGCCCACTGTTACCACCTGCTGCAGCCACCATTCTCACCTGTGATACCCAGCACCTACGACCTGCTCTTCCCCTTCTGTCATCCATTCTCACAGCCACTAGGTGACTCTTTGTAACATAAAATTAAGACCATTGGCCAGAAATTTCTCACAGCTCCTGGAAATCTAGAATAGACTCAGCAGATTTTCCATTTTAATATGTAAATAAAATTTCAGGAACGTTTCTGTGCAGCTGGAACACCCTGCACAGAGAACTCAAGACAGCATGTGTTCATTGATTCATCCAATAAACATTTACCGAGACCCCACTTTGTGCCAGGTCCTATTTTAGTTACTGGGTGGCAGAGCAATGACTGGAACACACCAGTGGATTCTCCTGAAGGTTTGTAGTAATTTCCCATAATATCATTGTTTTGCTTTGTGGAATGAATATAAGCATGAATATTAATATTAAAAAATTGCAAAGCACAAAATTCTCACTACTGACGCAGAATCTGCTCACTCTTCTCCCCATCCTCTGCCTGTACCTTGACCTTGTCTGTCCTTGTCTCCTACCTGAGCCATTGCCACAGGCTCCTCCTTGGTCTTCGTGCTCTCCCCCTACTCTCACAGTCTGTTTCCCGTATGCAACCAGAGTGCTCCAGGCCAGATCACAGCTTCCTCTGTGGAAGGGTTCCGAAGCCTTCCAAAGCTCCATGTCACTCAGAATAAAAGCCAAAGTCCTCACCATAGCCCACAAGGCCCCACACAGTCAGCCTCCTTGCCTGCTTCTCTGCTCTCATCTCCCATGCTCCCCCGCTCACTTTGACCCAACCACACTCCTTGCTGCTTCTCCAACCCTCCACACCGCTCCTGCTTCAGGGCCTTTGCACCCGCAATCCTCTCTGCCTGGAACTCTTTCCCAGATAGGTGCACCCCTCAGCCTCACTTCCCTTAGTTCTTTGATCAAAAGTCACCTGATACATTCCATGACCACTCTATAAGGAACCCCGCCAGCAGTCCCTATCCTCCTGATGTTATTTTCTCCAAAGCCTTCTAATAACTGGTTTAGTGTCTGTTTCCTCCCTCAGAAGATGAGCGCCAGGATGGTGGAGTTTTTATGTCTTGTTCACTGCTGTATCCCCAGCACGTAAAATAGTGCCTGGTACACACGGAATGCACAATACTTTCTGAATGTAAATAATATGGGACCCAGAGTTGGTCCCTGTTCTTGGGGGTGAAAATGAATCTGCGAAAGCCTTTGGTTGTAGATGGGACCTTCGAGAGTTAACTAAGAGTAGAGAAGAGTGGGCAGAGAGCACAGCCCTGGGAAGGCCTGGGTAGGAACCCTGATTACTGGGCTTGTACGGGTGAACCGAGGAGCGAATCGTTCAGGGTAGCGATGGCTGCACGTCTGAAGGCGGCGGGCGCTGGCGGTCCGCGGGGGCGGTGACCGAGGCGCTGAGGAATCCCCGCCCACGGACTGAAGCCGGGCTCGGGCGGGGCTGGGGCTCCGAGAGGCGGGGCTGCGTGGTTGCGTCACACGCCGAGCGTCCCCGCGTGCGTGCGCTGCTTTCCACGTGGGAAAGCCTGATTACTGATCCACGCAGCTCGTCTCTCGCCATGAAGCCAGGTGCCAGCTGGGGTTGGGGTCATGGGCCAGGGGCTGAGGCCATCCGGGAACCGGGATGACAGATCGGAATCGGAGGGACGGGGTCTCGGCCTGGGGGGTTCTGAGTCCCGGATCCAGGCTCGTGTGGGGAAGGGAACCTGGTTCCGGTTTCGCGTGGGGAGGGGGTCTTGGTTCCGGTCTCGTGTGGAGAGGGGGTCTTGGTTCGGCCCTATGATCGATGCAGAACCCGGGGTTCGAGTTCCTGATCTGGAGGTGTGTGATTGGCTTCGGAGGTGATGGTCGTGAGTTGAGGGTCTTGGGCCTGGAATTGGGAGTCCAGAACCAGGATTCATCTCAGTGAGGCTGTTCGTCATAGGGATCTTGGATAGCGGGCCAGGGGCGGCAGTCGGGGGTGCTGAACCAGAGTCAGGATCGAGGCATCTGAGGTCTTGTATCCCTGGGCGTGGATTTTGGAGAGATGTCTTGGCTCGGAGGTGGAGAGTCCTTGATCTTAGGTCCGGGAGCCGCGTCTGAAAGGCCCCTGGTTCGCTTCCCGTATCGCCGCTGCTACCACCGTTCCCTTAGCCCCCAACCCAGCTTCTCAGAGAGAGCCGGAGTGGATGAGAACTCCCTGCAGGATAGTGTGTGGCTTGCTCTGGCCCACTTTCCCGCTCTTTACTCGCCGGAGGGGGCGGCTTCCTGAGGATGGAGTGAGGGTCTTAGGCCCAGTGATTATAAACTCCTCGGTGAGATAAAACTTCAGAAGCCCCAGGATAGGATTAGCGTGGGGTAGGGAAGGAGATAGTCACAGGGCATGAGTGGTTTTACTCATTTGAATTTTCCCGAGGTTCTGATGAACCCACCCCACCTCCCTCTTGGTGGAATAATGAGTCCTGGCTTTGACAGCAAGAGTCTCGGCTCAAAGTTTCAACCCCGGCTCTGTTTCTTAAGCTACTGTGTGACCTTGGTCAAGTGGAATTACCTCTCTGAGCTTTAGTTTTCTCATTAATAAAATGGCTTCAGTTTTAATTTAGTGGTATCAGTTTAAGAAAAAATAGCATATGGTGGTAATCATTTTGTAATTGTAAGTATCAAATCAACAGGTCTTACACCTTATACTTAACTAAAGCGGGATGGGGGGGTGGGGGGGAGGGGGGGTGTAATTGCACAGTCCTGATCTATGATAGTATTGGCTCTAATTGTTATCTTTATCTTTCCCCTCAAGGAGAATAAAACTAGGGTCTTTCTTCTTGGTGTCTCAGGTCTTCCTATTCAGGCTGCGCCCCTCTCCAGCTTGCTCCCTGGGGGTTGGGGGAATCTTATACTGTGACCAAAGGCTTTGTTTTTCCTAGTTTTTCTTTTTCTTCTTTTTTTTCCCCTTGTGTGTGGAGAGATGGGGTCATCTGGTGGGGTGGGGGTGGGGGAATTTGTGGGTCCTGCCCTCTCCCAAGCTCCCTTTCTTTTCAGGGTTCGGGATTCTACTGATGAAGAGGGTGGGAGGTGCTAGGCTGTGCATCTCCCACTGAGACCCTGGTGTGCCTGCAGGTACCACGTACTCTGATGGCCCCAGGAATGCAGGATGCACTTCCAGCCCTTCCTCATTGTGTTAGGGTAGGAAGTTGTAGAAGTTGTCAGGAGTCAGCTCTTCAGTAAGGATTTTAGTCTGATTGACAAAAGAAGCCTTGGGAAATTTTGAGCAGGGGCCACTCCTACTTTTAAAAGGCTCCTTCTTGCATCTGTTTCAGAAGATTTTCGGGGAGTGAAAGTGGAAGCAGGCACATCGGCGAGAGTTGTTGCGGTGGCTTGAACCAAGGCGGTAGCAGTGGTCGCGGGTGACAGATTGTCATAATTTGGGACTATATTCTGAAGATAGAGCCAACAGCTTGTCTGTGGGTGTGAGAGAGGAGTCCAGGATAACTAGGATTTGGTGTAACTGGGAGGATGGTGTTGCCATTTTTGGGGGAGGGCTGTGGGAAGGAGAGCAGGTTTTAAACCAGGGGGTCTGTGGACCCTCTGCCCAGATCTTCTTGAAAAGTATGTGCAAACATGTGTTTTCCTGAGGAGTGTTGTGGGTACTTCAGTACATTTTTCTAAGAGCCCCAGGACCTGAAATAGATTAAGGTGTGTTTTGAAGATCTGGGACCATAAGTTTTAACCCAAGCCCATTGTACCCCATGCCTTGCCCAGGTCCACACTTGCCAGGTCTCTGTTCTGTCAGGCCTTAGGGTGAGAATCTCTTAGGCCTAGTGGTTTCTCTCCAAGAAGGAGAGAGGGAGAACTCATTCCCCTGAGTTTGAATTCAAACTGTGCCAGGCATTGGATTAAGTAAAGTGCTTTGTGTATATTAAGTCACTCAGTCCTTACAAGTCTGCGAGGTGGGTGCGGGTATTATCTCCAGATCTCTGTCTTACAGATGGTGTTTTCAAGGCTTCCGTTGACCCTTCCCTACTCTTAGGATCATAAATGGCATGGCCATCTCCCTATGGGGGATACACGAACTGCTCGAGGGGAGGGACCAGCGCTCTGGTCACCATCTGATCACCTGCTTCTCGAATGAACAAAGAGGGTGCTTTCTCCATGAGGCAGAACTCAAGGGTGTAAGAGTCATCAGCAGACATGGCTTGTTTAATATTTATAGAGCACATACTTTGTGCCTGGTGGTGTGCAGGATGCTGGTGACACAGCGGTGACCAAAACAGTTAAACAGCCCCATCCATTTGGAGCTTGATTCTAGTGGGGAGGCGTGGGGGTGGGTGGGTGAGTAGGCAGTACTGATATTAAAAATGCCATGTATGATATTGATAGGAAGGAAAAGAAAGGGTAAAAGAGGGTAGCCCAAGAAGGCCCTGCTGAGGCAGGGACATTTCTTTAGAGATCTGAGTGCAGTGGAAGAGTGGGTGAGCCAAGCAAGTGTCTGCAGGAGGCCAGCAAAGGGAACAGCAGATGTAAAGGGTTTGACAGATGGAGAGCAAGCTTGTCTGGGGGGGAGGAAGAGTATGGGGTCCAGCACAGAGAGAGTGAGGTCAGAAAAGCCAGCAGGAGCCAGAGCCCATATGATGGTGGTTCTCAATTGGAACTGCACAGCAGAATCACCTGGGGAGCTTTATAAAGCCTTGTGCCCAGCACCCACCCCCCAATTAAATCAAGATTTCTGGGTTCCAGGGATTAGGCAAAGGTGAGGCCCACTGAGTTGGGGCTTTGGAAACCAGAGAAAGGAAATTTCTTTTCAAAAGTGTGGGAAAACCATTGAAGAGATTTACACAGGGGACTGAGGAATCTGATTCACTGTTTTAAAAAGGTCCATCCTTGGCTGCCATATGGGCAGTAGACCAAAGAAAGAGAAGAGAAAAGGTGAACAACTCTTGGTTATGTGTGGGAATTAGAACTAAATTAGGAGATACGATGAAAAGTTGTATGTTTTCATCTTGAATGCTGTTTAGATGCATGAAGCTTTCATAGAGTGTGACTGTAATTCACTTTTACAAAAACTTTGGCAAGTTTACTAGTAAAGATTTACCTCAAGTAAGATCATTTAACCATAGTTGACTTTCGTGCTAACTAGGGTTTTGTAACTCGACTTTTCTCAAAGTACTGCAAGAGCCTTTGAAACCGTCACAGAAAAGGCAGGTATCAGATCTGTTAGTAGCAGATTATGCTTCAAACATAGATTTGTGCTCACGGAAGGGATCCATGTTGGCTTTGTCCTGATTTGAGGAAAGTAAGGTCTTTCTGAATCTTTTTTCCCCTAACCTTTCAGTCTTGTTGATAAGCCCTAACTGCTTATGACCTGTTTGCTGCCTCTCCATAAAAGACAGTCAGCTTTTGTCTTGGGTTTTCCCTGAGCTGGGAAAGACTTCTGCAAGTTTGGAAGCAGGGAGATCAGTCAGCAGGCAAGATGTCATACCCAACTGCCCTCTGTTTAGGGGGTTGGCACTCTTTTTCCAGAGACAAGGTCAGGAGTGAGAGGGCATGAAAATGTTTCCAGGGTCTGGGGGACCCCACTGCAGCTGCGCATGCAAACATGCAGTGTTTGGTCATCAGACCAATTAATAGTGAAATTAGAACACATTCTGCAGATCCACCATCCAACCAAGAAAAGCAGAATGTTGACAGTAACATCTGCCTACCTCTGTGCTCCTCCCGTATCCCAACCCCATAAAATCTCCCGTACCCCATCTCATGAGTTTTGCATTTATTATCCCCTTGCGTCTGTTTTGGGGGGTGGGGTGAGTTGTGGGTTACCACACACGTCAACACAACATGGCATTGTTTAATTTTGGTTGCTGAGCTTTATAAAAAGGGACACTGTTGGGTGTGGTTTTCTTGGACTTGGCTTTTCACTCAGCATTGTGATTCTAAGATGTATTATCTGTTGTTTGTAACCCTCGATCGTTTTCATTGTGGGTTAGAATATTCCCGGTTTTATCTGTCCTGCTGATGGGCATCTGTGGACGCCTCTCTGTGCACGCGTGCCCCCGTTTCTCTCCTTAGTGGGATAATGAGGCGTAGGGGTAGCGTCGCAGGCTTCGTTGCCCTGATTGCCGTTTCTGTTTCCACCACAGGTTTCAGCCCCCGCGGGGGCGGCTTCGGCGGCCGAGGGGGCTTCAGTGACCGCGGCGGGCGCGGCGGGCGCGGCGGAGGCCGAGGAGGCTTCGGCGGGGGCCGAGGGCGCGGCGGGGGCTTTCGGGGCCGCGGACGAGGAGGCGGAGGGAGAGGTGGTGAGTGAGGCTGGGGGTGACCAAGGAGGCTCTGCCGCGGCGCGAGGGCCGCGGGGTCGCCCTCTGGCTGCCTCTTGGCCTTGCAGGTGGAGGGTTCCAGTCTGGCGGCAGCCGGGGTCGTGGTCGGGGCGGGAAGAGAGGAAACCAGTCAGGGAAGAATGTGCTGGTGGAACCTCATCGGCATGAGGGTGAGTGAGGGTGGCAGGGAGCCCCCGGGTGAGGGGTGGGGCTGGGCTGCCCCCAGGTGGCTTCACCCCTGCACTGGTCCCCTCTCAGGTGTTTTCATTTGTCGCGGAAAGGAGGATGCCCTAGTCACCAAGAATCTGGTCCCCGGAGAATCAGTATATGGCGAGAAGAGAGTCTCCATTTCGGTGAGCCCTGTCCCCGTCCCAGCCACCTGGGTCCCGGCCGGTGGGGTGACGGCAGTGTGCTGTGCCTCTGCCACCATGTGTCTGACCCATGCCCGCCAGGGGGCATCATAATACAGGAGTCACATTACGCACTCCCCACCCCAGGCGCTGTCTATCACTCCGTGTTACCTTCAAGTTAAAGTCCCAAGTCCTCGGTGTGGCCTGGAAGGCCCTGCGCATTCCGGCTCCCCCTTTTCGAGTCCCCCTGACCAAATGTCGCCCAGCCACACCGCCCTCTTTGCTGTTCACACTGCCTGGAATACTCTCCTCTCAGCTCTGCGTGGCTGGTTCCCTTTCATCACCAGCATCTCCATTGAGGTGTCACCTTGTCTTTCTGAGGAACAAGGCCACCTTGCACCAGCCTGTCTGTCAAAGTAGCCCTCCCCACCCACCCCCTGCCCACTTACCTACCCACATCGTCTGCTTTGTGGCCAGGCCCTGTGCTGCCTGGAATGTGCTTCCCCAGGTAACTTGAATGGCTCCTCACCTCTTTCAGGTCTGCTTCAGTTGTTTCCTGGGCTCCTCTCTGGTCACCCTTTCTCATGTCCACCTGCCCCTTGCCCTGCTCCCTGTACTTCATACATTCTCTCCTGGCTTGGGCTTCTCTCCTTAGCACCTGTCACTGGCTGCTGGGCCATATGTGTTAGTTAGCTAGTCCACCCAGTGTATGCGTACTTCCTGAGGGCAGGGGTCTTCATCTGGTTCACTGCATATCCCCAGTGCCGAGCATGGAGGCTAGCACACAGCCTGCTGGCGCAGTGAGCGAGTGCTGAGTGAGTGCATAGGTCTTGCTCTGACCTGGTCTGATCCTGTCTGCTTGTCTGTTGCTGCCTCTTCTCCTTGAGTCAGTAACCAGGAGAGGGTCGGCACTGCATCTGTGTGGTCACTGATGTCTGCCCACGTTCATTTCTTGTACAATAATTGAGCATCTTGTCCCTTTTGAGGGCCCTAGGGTTAAGGGCAGTGCCTTCTTGCAAAAGAGCCTGGCACTGACTTCCATCCTCATCTCTCCTGGCCTAGGAAGGAGATGACAAAATTGAGTATCGGGCCTGGAACCCCTTTCGCTCCAAGCTGGCAGCTGCAATCCTGGGCGGTGTGGATCAGATCCATATCAAGCCAGGGGCCAAGGTGCTGTACCTCGGGGCTGCCTCAGGCACCACCGTCTCCCATGTCTCTGATATCGTAGGCCCGGTGAGTGGACAGAGGGGTCGGTGGGTGGGGTGGTGAGTAAGGGTCAGTGTAAGGTGGGAGGGAGGGAAATTCTGCCTCCTCTGCCAGTAGAGGCCCTGTCTGCTCCCCTGTGCCGTGTGGCTGGAAACCAAGCCCTTCCCTTTCAGAGGGCTTGTGAGTAAAAGGAACAGCTTGAGCCACAAAGTCTCTGAAGCCACACTCCTGAGTTCTTGACCTGGAGGGTAGCGGTGTGGGTGTCAGGGTGACTAGCGTTAGACCCAGAGAACATAGACACCGCACTGTTTGATTTGGTTGTCCTCTTTAAAAATGTATGCCCCCATAAACTGGTCTTCTGGGTTCTCTTGAAAACAGAAGATCTATTTCTGGGCTTACATTTCTGGGTGGCTATAGGGGTACCCTATTTAGTGTACCTCCAGCTTCATGACCCCTAGCTCATCTGTGTAACTATGTAGACTGTGTAATGTGGTGGCTAAAAACCCCAGGCCTAGGTGCAGGCATTTAAGAGTGAAGTGGCTTTTGGCAAATTACTTCACCTCTCTGAGCCTCACTTTACCCCTCTGGGAAATAGAGTTGTGAAGGTCAGTGACTTAATTTCTTTAAAGTGCTTAGAACTGTGCCTGGCTCACTGCAAGTATTCGTCACTGTGATAACTTCATCTCTGTGCCCTGGCTTTCTTGTTTTGAACCTGAACTGTGGGCCCAGGCTCTTAGGTCAGGCAAAGTGGGATTGAAAAACCCTTAACCAGTGACTTCAGTTCTCTGGACCTCAGTTTATTCTTCTGTAAAATGGACATGCTAACAGTAGTTGTTAAATGGTAGAGTGTTGATTCAGGTATTTGAAGAGATGATGTGTGCAGTGTCTGGGTGCAGAGTCGGTGTTCCACACATGAGAATTGGTGTCTTTGTTATTATGTGATTTATTTTAGGATGGTCTGGTCTATGCAGTTGAGTTCTCCCACCGCTCTGGCCGTGACCTCATTAACTTGGCCAAGAAGAGGACCAACATCATTCCTGTGATTGAAGACGCTCGACACCCTCACAAATACCGCATGCTCATTGGTGAGGGGTCTAGGGGTGGTCGTGGTGGGTGGGATAGGCTGCCTCAGATTTCCTGGAAAAGACTGTCAGAGCCCTGATTCGAACTGAATATAACCAGATGCACAGGCCTCTTGGGTCTGCAGGAACCAAAAGGGTGTGGGGAGTCAGGTGAGGTTCTAGAGGTTGCCACCCTGTGTCAGGGTCTCAGACATCTGGCACCCTTGAGGTTCACCTCCTATCTTGCCATCTCTTGCCTCTCTCCTACCCCCAAACCCCCATATTTCCTGCCTCCAAAACACAGTACTTTCTCTATGGTCCTGGTTTACATATAAGAGCTGCCTTCCAAGATGCTAATCATTGTCTGGTGAGATTATAACCCAGAAAGCACAGACTAAGGATGGCCTGGGCCATAGGGGCCCTTTATGAATATTAATGATTTATTTTTAAAAATATTGAGAAATGTAATGTAAACATGGAATACTTTATGTAAATCACCCACCCCAGGAGGTAACCCATATGAACCCAATTTGATATCTGCTTTTTCCAGTTTTAAAAAGTCAGTTTTCATTACACTATCTTTTATCTTTTTTTCTCCTGTTATATACTGCCTTAAAAATATTACTTTGCCTTTTGCTTGTTTTACTATGATTTTTCCCCCCCGTGCATTCATACCATACCCTTTGTCCTGCAACTTTTCATATGACAGTCCTGCAGACACTCTTGCCTGTAAGTGCTCACCTTTACCTGCCTTTTTGATGACGTGTCTATCTCCCCCCCAGACCTGAGAGCATCTCGAGGGCAGGGTCCGGGTCTGACTCATCTCTATGTCCCTCACGCCCGGCCTGGGGCTGGCCACAGAGTAGGTGGCAACCATGGTTTACAAGAGGAATCATTGAATGGTGTGACTGTGGGTTTTGGACCCATCTTGGGGACACCATGGAGGGAGGGAGTCCGGGTGGGGAAGTGAGACTGGAGTTACGGAAGACTGCCAGGAACCTGCTGGTGATGGGGCGCAGGCCCCATGGGAGGAGCTGGGAAGATCTGGGGGATTCAGCTTTTAACTTCAGTTCTTTCTCCCTAGCAATGGTGGATGTGATCTTTGCTGATGTGGCCCAGCCAGACCAGACCCGAATTGTAGCCCTGAATGCTCACACCTTCCTACGTAATGGGGGACATTTTGTGATTTCCATTAAGGTGTGAGGCTTGGAGAAGTCTAAGATGGGGTGGAAATATCTTCTCTTTGTAACTGCCAAGCGGACCTCCATTCCTCCTAATCCAGTCAGTCTATTCTCAGCCTCTGTCCTTCCCAGCTCCCTACAAGCCACCTCCTGCCCCCAGTCAAATAATAGCACATGATGAAAATGTCCACAAAACTAAGCACTTTGGATTTAAAGAGGCAATAGAATGTAGTGCCTGATCACTGAGTCTGACCACTTGAGTTTGAATTCTAGTTTACTGTGTAACTAAGCAAATTTGCCTGCATGCCTGTTACAAAGTAGAAATATTACTCCTGTTTCTTTTGGTGTTGATGTAAGGATTAAATTTATCAATACATATGAAGTGTTTAGAACAGAGCCCAGGGTAAAATAACACTAGACAAATGCTGGGTGCATTTTAAAAAACAGAAATACAGAGAACTCTTGTGTTCCCATCACCTTGATTCACCATTTTGCTACACTGGTTTATAATATTCTCAGCTGCATAATTACTATCCTTACAGAAGAGGAAAGAGGGGAAAAAACCTTGGGTGTAAAATTTAAACACTAGCTTTTAGATAAGAGGGCTCTGTTGAAGGCTTCCTGTTCCAAACCCTGTGGAATTGAAAACTTACCTAATGAAGTCTCTCCGTACATTTCCAAAACCTGAGTTTCCAAAACAAATTCTTCTGGTTTAAAATAAAGAGTACAAAAAAGGGAAAACAGCCGAAAGTCGACCTGCAGTCCTCTTTCTTCTGCAGGCCAACTGCATTGACTCCACAGCCTCTGCTGAGGCCGTGTTTGCCTCTGAAGTGAAAAAGATGCAACAGGAGAACATGAAGCCCCAGGAGCAGTTGACCCTAGAGCCATACGAAAGAGACCATGCTGTGGTCGTGGGTGTGTACAGGTGAGCAGGGGCCCAGTAGGCCACCAGGACTCTATGTCTGTCCTCTGCATGCAGAGCTGTGGGTCAGTACTGGTTAGAAGTGCCCTAAAGCCATGGTAACAAGCTCTGAATCCCCTCATCTCCTTCCTCTCACAGGCCGCCCCCCAAAGTGAAGAACTGAAGCCCAGAGCCATCTGGATCGCGAGAGATTGTGTTGCTACTATTACACTTGTGTTTTTCTATTAAAAGACTCTTGCCATCTCTCCCGTCTACTCTGCTGTGCGGCCTGTAGTGACAACAGGGCGCATGCGCCCTAGGTCAGTGTACTTGTTCGGGGAATGGATATTTTTATGTGGTCACACGGCGCATGCCCCTTATCTACCTCCTGCACAGCCCTAACCTGGATTTCGGCGCTTGGGCGGGACTGTTGGTTCCCTGCGCTAGTCCGCTGATAAACTCCGCGGAGCGCAGGCGCGCAGTTACCGTGAATCACGTGGGAGGGAAATCGATGGGGGGGAGTAGGGGCGGAGCCCCGGACTGGCGGAGTTGGGGGGGCCGGTTTGTTGTGGTCGCCATTTTGCTGGTTTCACTACTGGGTAATCGGGACCCTGGCTCGCCGCGTCCGCCGTATACTTTTAGCCAGTGGGCAGCTCTGAGCTCGGGCTTCCCGAGCAAATTTGAGTCCCCTTGCCTGCGCCCTCAGGTAACAACGCGGCTACGGGTGGGGCCGTACGCCCTCGTGGGGTGGGGGGGCAGTACGGGACCCGCCCTGCCCGCTTCTCCGCGAGACCTAGCACGAGGCCGAGGGATGAGGGGAGGAGGGTGGCGGGCAGGTGCAGGTCATGCCGGGCTATTCATAGTCGGATTCCTGGAAGGGGTCGAGACGGAGGTAGCACTCTTACGAGCGAGGCGGGGAGGGGGTAGCGGGGACCCGCTCCCGCCCTTTGTTTGTGCTCAGCTCCGCCAGCCGCATCGTCGTCGCCTAGCAACAGCTGCCCTGCTCTGTGATTGGTTGGGCTCTTGGCAGCAATGACCAATGGTACGGTTGTTGCCATGGTAGGCCCGGACTGCCAAACTCAGGTCCCGCCCGCGGGGAGGGGTGTGCTCCTCGGCCCTGGGCGGGCCTCCAGGGTTGGGGGGCGGGACGCTGAGGTCCCCGGGGGCGGGTGACCGCGGGGCGGGGCGCGGGTTAACCCGCCCCTCCCCCGTCCACCTGCTTTCCCCTTCCCCCGCATGCCCCGGGCTGACCCACGTTCCCTCCTCTCCCCGCCCCCGGCGGCGGCTGCTGTTGTCACCCACCGGGCCGCCTGTCCCGCTTGCCCTCCTAGCGGCGAGGCTTGCCGGGCCGGCCGGGCCGGGACAGGCGGCCGTCTCTTCACCGCCACCGCCATGCTGGCCGTTCGCCCACCCCACTGGGGGCCCCACCGCGCCCCAGCCTCCCGTGGGCCCCGCGCCAGCCCTGACCTGGGTAGGGGGTGGGGGCTGGGAGAGACGGTCCTGGTGTGGGAGGGCCCCGGGGGAGAGGTTTTTTGGGGTGGGGAGAGCTCCGAGAGAAAGAAGGAGCTGGAAAGGTTTGGCATGGGAGCAAGGGTTTTACCTGGGGGAAGGCCCTCGGGGAGAGGATTTTGGTGTGGCTGATACTCTGGGAGGGGAGAACTGTATGTGGTCCTTGGGGAGTTTGGCGAGCGGGGCCTTCTAGGAATGGGCACAGTTGTGGATTGACCATGGTGTAGGGAGGGGGGATTGGAGAAAGGGCCCTCGTAGGAATATTGGATTGGGGGAGTTGGGTAGGACCCACTGTAGGGGAGAGGACACCCAGTGTCACTCTCAATCATGGAAGAGACGTCTCTTTGCTCCCGTTTAGGAAGAGTGGGCCTTTATTGGGGGGTGGGGATGAACCTAGGACTAGTACAAGGAAGAGCCTTGATGTGGCATGGGGAAACTACCTGGAGGGGTGGTCCCTGGTGTGGAGGAAATGATACAGGGAAGAGATCTTGGCATGATTTGGGGAGGGTCCCGTGGGAGTAGTGTGCCCTGATGGATGAGAGTGCTATGGGGTAGGACTCTGTTGTTTAGAGGTCCTCAGATAACCTTGGTGTTTCTTTGTACACCAGGTTATCTGGTCCCTGAAGACCCTGATGTGGTTTTAGTGGCCTGCAGGGGACTCTCATGTGGTTTAGAGGGATCCTAGAGCTGTTTGGATTGGGGTATCTACTGGGAAGGGTAGATCTTGAAGCAGAGGGACCTTTCTGGGATAAGAGATGAGATCCTCACTGTTCAGGGATACTACAGGAAGAGGGGCCCTGGGGAGGGCCACGAATAGACACAGGAAGGACTAAACCCTACTCCCTCTACTGTCTGTGGTTCTTTTTCTTCTCTTTTCCCCCCAATTATTGGTGTGTCTGTCCTTTCCTCTCATGTCCATATCGCTGTCTGGCTCCCAATCATCCCTTTCACATTCCCCCTTTTGTGCTGCCTACTTCATATATTTAATAATCATTTGTGAGGGGCTCTGCTGTGCCACCGCTCCTCCTCACCCCTCCCCCGTTGCCATCACTTCTCTCTGTTCCCTCTCTTCATTGCCACCTGTTGCTCTGTTGCACCCTTTTTCTCCTCCCTCTGTGCCCTGCTCTCTTGCTGATGTCTACCTCTTTCCCTCCTGGCACTGTCCCACACATCCCCTTGTTCCATGTTGTTCCCCACCTCCCGCCTGCTCTCAGGTCTCAGCGGCGGTGGCAGCCGAGGTGCAGGATGCGAGAAGGCGCCCCCGGGCCGGGCTCCCGCTCCAGGCCTCACTCCCCTGCGGCCCTCTGAGCCCACCATGGCCGTCCCACCGGGCCATGGTCCCTTCTCTGGCTTCCCAGGGCCCCAGGAGCACACGCAGGTATGCGTACATCTGGCTCCTCACCTGCCTGGGGTAAGGGGAGGCTGGGGATAAATGGGTCTTGTGGTCTGAAAATAGTGTGGCTGCCCAGGATAGTCTCCTGGGGGCATGAAGGGCCCATGGGAGTGAAAGACAGTTGTTGCTGGCAGAGCCAGGGTTGGAGAACCTTGGTTCAAATCATGACTTGGTGTTCTAATTATTTCGGCTCTCCATGTTTCTGTTTTCTTTTCTGTAAAACAGGGCCAGTAATGATGCCTATGTCACAGGGCTGTTGTGAGGGTTAAATGAGTTAATGAAATGCATGTAAAGTGCTGAGAAAACTGCCTGGCACATAGTAAACAATAAGTGTTCACTAGGAAAAATAGTCCAGAGTGAAAGATCTGGGGGCAGGAAGAGGAGGGAAGGTGGAGCCTAAAGAGTCAGGGAGGGAGCAGGGCCCCAGGGTGTGGGATAAAGATCTTCGAGTGGGGAGATTGTTAAGGCTCTGAAATGCAGTGCTTTAAGCAGAGTGGAGCGGGAGATCCAGCGTGCTGGATCTAGATCTAAATAACACTGGCAAGAGGTACAGAGTGGGGGCCAGGGATAGGAAGGCCCCAAGGGACCAGGGTAAAGCAGGATGGGACGGGGCAGCCCCCAAACCACCCAGAATGGGTGGCCCCAGGCAAGGGATCCAGAGGGGCACAACCCAGGTATTCTGTCCGAGCTCTCCCATGGAGGTTCAGAGAGGAGTAAAGGGGTGGGATGAAAGGTCAGGGGTAAGCAGTTCACCATTCATTCACTCAGCAAATCTGAAGTGTGTGCCAGGCCCTGCTCCAAGCACTGGAGATAAAATGGTAACAAGACAAAGTCTCTGCTATTAGGACTTTCTGTCCTAGTGGGGTTGTCAGACAATTACCAAATAAGTATGAGTATGGTAATGATGTGCCAGCACCACATATGGTTTTCCCCCTGGAGGTCAGAGGTGAAGGCCCATCCTCAGTGCCCACCCCTCACCCTATCTCACAGGTATTGCCTGATGTGCGGCTGTTGCCACGGAGGCTGCCCCTGGCCTTCCGGGATGCGACCTCGGCCCCACTGCGGAAGCTCTCTGTGGACCTCATCAAGACCTACAAACACATCAATGAGGTGGGCAGCAGGTGGGGACCCAGGCTGGGTGCTGAGGGATCCTGGCTTCTGGCACAGGTAACTCACCAGCCCTCATCTCCTGGCTGGCCGGCTGGGCAGGTATACTATGCGAAGAAGAAGCGGCGGGCCCAGCAGGCGCCACCTCAGGACTCGAGCACCAAGAAGGAGAAGAAGGTCTTGAACCATGGTTATGACGACGACAACCATGACTACATCGTACGCAGTGGCGAGCGCTGGCTGGAGCGCTATGAGATTGACTCGCTCATTGGCAAAGGCTCCTTTGGCCAGGTTTGGGATGCCCTACCCCCACCCCAATCCAGGGATTAGGGGACATGGGCACTCACTGATACCACACAGCCAGTTCAATGGCTTCAAGGTCCATGCTGGGCTACTCACCCTGGCCCAGTCCTGTGGCTTCCCTGTGCCTCAGCTTCCTTTTCTGAAAAATACTGCAAATAGTGGGGCTCTCTCTATAAAGTTGTGTTATTTCATGCCCAGGGTTTACATCAGTATCTGATTGTTGCTGAGCCTGGCCCCATCCCATCCCCACCTCCCCCATTCCCTAGCTTTATGACATGCCCTGCCCTGGCAGGTGGTGAAAGCCTTTGATCATCAGACCCAGGAGCTAGTGGCCATCAAAATCATCAAGAACAAAAAGGCCTTCCTGAACCAGGCTCAGATTGAGTTGCGGCTGCTGGAGCTGATGAACCAGCACGACACAGAGATGAAGTACTACATAGGTGAGGCCTGGGGCAGCAGCAGGGTGGCGGGAACCCCTTGGGGGGGGGGTCGGTCACCCCCGGCCCAGGAAGGGGCTGGTGTCTCCAGGGCAGGGTTGGCTCTGCAATGCCCAGAAGAGTGCATTTCCTGCCACTTTCATAATTTTTGCCCTATTCACGTGATAATCTTGGTCAGAGTTTTTTGGGTGCTTTCAAAGGGACTTTGCTTTCTTTGTGGTAAGCCCTTAACACAGATTAACTCTGTGTAAGCCTCCCCACAGCCCCATGGGGGAAGGGACACTTGACCATAGCTTGAAGATGAAATAGGCATTCAGTTGCTATTACTTGCATAAGGTCAGAGTCTGCACACAGCAGAGCTCTAAACTGACCAGGCAGTGGACTCTAGAGCCTTTACTCATGACATCCATACTAGTCTTTTTCAACTTTCCTGTACTGATTGCTCTTAGAAAAGGCAAATGGGTTTAAGGAGTGTGTTTCTTAAAATACAAAGTCTTACAATAAGTGCAAGATAAGTGTCCTTTGCCACAAAAATAAACAGAACTGAGAAACAATGTTACAGTGTTAAATAAAGTAAGTGTAGAATAGTGTTAAATATCAGCACTAAATGGAAACTGCCTCTGGTTTAATCAGAAAGTTTGACAGAGGCTTGAAAAGAATTAACTTTTATTAATCAAAATCAGTAATTTTCTTGGTGTGAATCGGGTATATAAACACATCCTGATTAGAAGCTGGTTCCCGTGGGCACACCACTGTTTGGCCAGTACTCAAGAAGCAGACCAGACCTGCTTCCAGCCGCTGTCCTTATTACTTGTACCCCCAGCCACCACTGGGCCTCTCTGAGCTTGTTTCTTCTCTGTTGGCCCATTTCCGTCCCCTTCCCACAGTGCACCTGAAGCGGCACTTCATGTTCCGGAACCACCTGTGCCTGGTGTTCGAGCTGCTTTCCTACAACCTGTACGACCTCCTGCGCAACACGCACTTCCGCGGTGTCTCTCTGAACCTGACGCGGAAGCTGGCGCAGCAGCTCTGCACGGCGCTGCTTTTCCTGGCCACGCCCGAGCTCAGCATCATCCACTGCGACCTCAAGCCCGAGAACATCCTACTCTGCAACCCCAAGCGCAGTGCCATCAAGATCGTGGACTTCGGCAGCTCCTGCCAGCTTGGCCAGAGGGTGCGGCTCGAGCTGGCCCTGGGGGTGGGATGAGGCGAGGGTGGGCGGGGCCAACTAGTGATTGTAGCCCGAGGGGCAGGGCTTGGCGGGGATGGGATTGTCGGGTGCATCCTGAAGGGCTGGTGGCTGAGGAGTAGTGCTTGGGTTGGGGTGTCGGTGGGTACGGAGAATGGGGCCGGTGGGCGAAGGGCGTAAAGGAGAGGGCCCTCGAGCCTGCTGCCGAGTAGGAAAGGGAAGGGTGAAGGGACGGGGCTGACTTCAGGCTGCCAGATGTAGGCAGGTGCAGGTGGGCAGGCTTGAGCCTGAAGTGGGATGGTAATGGGAGGATGCTTCAGCCTTGCAGCTCTGTGTGAGCAGGCATTGAGATGACAATGGTGGGGACTTGAAAAGGGTCTGGACTGGGAGGGTGAGAAGGGCCTGGGTTTGCTGACTGTCAACCTCTGACTGGTGACCAGGGCCTCAGGGTCAGGCCTGGGTTGGAGATCAGGGTCAGATTAGGCCAGCAAGACTCCTGAAGCTGATGAATAAGATGGTGGTAGTGGCTCCTGCAAAGTTGGTCCTGATGACATAAAGGTTTGGAGCACTCATCCCCAGTTTTGAGGGCAGGAGGCTTGTCCTAGCCTTGGGGGTGTCAGCACCAGTTGAGGAGGCTGGGACCTCTGACTCTTGCCATCTCTCCTCCCCCAGATCTACCAGTACATCCAGAGCCGCTTCTACAGGTCACCTGAGGTGCTCCTGGGCACGCCCTATGACTTGGCCATTGACATGTGGTCCCTGGGCTGCATTCTGGTGGAGATGCACACCGGAGAGCCCCTCTTCAGTGGCTCCAATGAGGTGTGCTTCCAAGGAGGGAGTGTGCTAGAGGGGTAGAGGTGTGGCTGACCTGATAACCCTGACTGCCTGCCTGCTCGCAGGTGGACCAGATGAACCGGATTGTGGAGGTGCTGGGCATCCCACCAGCCCCCATGCTGGACCAGGCACCCAAGGCTCGCAAGTACTTTGAACGGCTGCCTGGGGGTGGCTGGACCCTACGAAGGACAAAGGAACTCAGGAAGGTGCGGCCCCTGCCCCACACCACTCCCCCCACCCTGGTGGCCCCTCACTCTCTCACACTTGGGGCTCCCTTCTCTCCCTGCTTCCTCTCCCATGTGTCTTTTCCTTCCTTCCTCTCCTGGTAGTCTGTCCTTTCCTTCCTCCCCAGCCCACCCCACCCCATCTCTCCTACCCACCCCACAACTCTTCTTAGCTTCTCTCTCTACCTTCTCTCTTGTGCCTCTGTTTCCCCGTGTGTGTCTCCCTGCCCCTCCTGCCCACTGACGGCCACTCTCTTGCCCCCCCTCCCACCCCCTCCCTGCCAGGATTACCAGGGCCCCGGGACACGGCGGCTGCAGGAGGTGCTGGGCGTGCAGACGGGCGGGCCCGGGGGCCGGCGGGCGGGGGAGCCGGGCCACAGCCCCGCCGACTACCTCCGCTTCCAGGACCTGGTGCTGCGCATGCTGGAGTATGAGCCCGCCGCCCGCATCAGCCCACTGGGGGCTCTGCAGCACGGCTTCTTCCGCCGCACTGCTGATGAAGCCACCAACACGGGCCCGGCAGGCAGCAGTGCCTCCACCTCGCCCGCGCCCCTCGACACCTGTCCCTCCTCCAGCACAGCCAGCTCCATCTCCAGCTCTGGTGGGTGCCTAGTGCCAGGTGGGGGAGAACAAGAGTGGGGGCAGCTCTGGTTGGCCTGACCTGGGTGACCTTGCCACTGGGCCTCCACCTAGACTTTGAAAGCATGAGCCTGAACTCCAGAGTGGGTGGGGCAAGAGAGCTCTGACTGGCCCTGACCTCTGAAATTGAGCTAGGGCTCAGGCCTCTGAAACTGGTTCTGCCTCTTGATGGCCAAACCTGAGGTCTGATCCCTAATCTCAAAATTGGGCTCTGTCCTTCAAGTGGACACTGGTCCCAAAGCCCAGACCGGGACCTGGGCCATGAACCAGAATCATCCTCCCCAAAACCCAGCCGCCACCTCTTACCTATGGCCGCCTCTCCTCTCCTCCCCTCCCCTCCCCTGTCACTTCCAGGAGGCTCCAGTGGTTCCTCCAGTGACAACCGGACCTACCGCTACAGCAACCGATACTGTGGGGGCCCTGGGCCCCCTATCACTGACTGTGAGATGAACAGTCCCCAGGTACTGGGGCTTAGGGGACTTTGGAGCAGGAGGTCGGGTAGCTGGGGCTTCCAGACCTGGGTGTCCATCACCCACTCTTTTGCTCCTTTAGGTTCCACCCTCCCGGCCACTGCGCCCCTGGGCAGGGGGTGACATACCCCACAAGACACATCAAGCCCCTGCCTCTGCCTCATCACTGCCGGGGGCTGGGGCCCAGTTACCCCCGCAATCCCGATGCCTTGGCCGCCCCCCATCACCAACCTCACCACCACCCCCGGAGCTGATGGATGTGAGCCTGGTGGGCGGCCCTTCAGACTGCTCCCCGCCTCACCCAGCACCTGCTCCCCAGCACCCGGCTGCCTCAGCTCTCCGGACTCGGATGACAGGAGGTCGTCCATCCCTTCCACCCCCTGATGACCCTGCCACTCTGGGGTCTCGCTTGGGCCTCCGTGGTGTACCCCAGAGCACGGCAGCCAGCTCATGACCCTGCCCCATCCCTGGGGCCCCTCCTGAAGCCATACCCCCTCATCTGGGGGCCCTGGGCTCCCATTCTCATCTCTCCCCTTGACTGGAATTGCTGCTACCCAGCTGGGGTGGGTGGGGCCTGCACTGACTGGGGCCTGGGGCAGGGGGTCAAGGAGAGGGGTTTAGGCGCACCCTCCCTGCTGAGGACTGGACCCTTGGCCCCCTCTCCCCCCTTGTTTTCTATTTATTGTACCAAAGACAGTCATGGTCCGGTAGGGGGAGCCCCTCTCACCCTAGGGCCTAGGAGGGGGTGGGGTCAGGTAGGGGGAGATGGCCTTGCTCCTCCTTGCTGTACCCCCTAGTAAAGAGCTTTCTCACATGCCTGCCTGAGCGTTTGCAGGGCCTCGGCCCCCCTTACCTGGCCCCAGAGGCATGGTGGGGAATGGTGCTTGGGGAGGTGGTGCTGGAAGAGGTTTGTCGTGTGATATTCGTCCCTGGAGAAGTTACAGCTATTGGTGTAGACGTGGGGCTGCAGGAGGTCTGGGGCTGTCAAATTTTAGATCAAGATCCTTAATAGGATCCTAGACCACGTTTGCCTTTCCAGGGTGAATGGAGACCTTGAAAGGATAAAGACCTAGCTATAGATAGTCCATCTCTGGGAAATACCAGGTTCTGTCCTAATGAGCCATGGCATCCACACATCTGTACAGGAGTGGCTCATTTTACTAAACAAGCATCCCTTAGCGGCTGAATGCATGTAGCAGCCTTACTGGTGTCATCTGGGGAGTGACAGGCAATGGGTACATTTACTCCTACTACGTCTGGACTCACTCCTTGGAGCCACTGTGAAGCAAAGCTTTTGACTCACATGCAAAAAAGATACTCCCAGGGTTCCAGGTAAGTAGACCTGATTCCAGGTGCTTTTGGAAATTTATGTCTCCCAAACCGGCCAATGAGGAGCCGCCTGATTCAAAGGGTTTGGTCACCACTGGGGCGCGGCGCTTCTTGGGAAACCGGGTTTTATCCAGCTGGCTCTTCACCCGTCTTTTGTTGGGGAACTACAAAGACCAGAAATCTCTTCGCTCACGCGTTTAGAGGCGGGGTCTCAGATAGCCAATCGGCAGTCAGGGGTGGCCCGGGGAACGGAAGCTTGAGGCGGGTTGTAGGGGAGGAGGAGGCCGTGATTGGGTAGTTTTGGCCAGGCTGTGCGCGGGAGCCGGGTCCTCCGAGGCCTTTGGAAGGTGGGTGGCTTGGCTGTGACCAGAGGCCGTGCAGGTTCGGCGTTCGTGGTTACAGAGCAGGAGGTAAAGGCCTCATCACGCTCGCTCCGGCTATGTCTGGCCCTGCTCGCAGGAAGCCCCGGTCGGTAGGAGAGACAGGCAATGACCCTGCTACGGACCTGCGTATGTTTGCTAACCGCGGTGGCTTGGAACGTGGAGGGAACCCTCACGAGGCACGGGTAAACCCTCCTGAGGACAAGGAGCTGGCTAAGCTGAGTCCTGAAGAGAGGGATGTTTGGGCGTGGCAGTGGTGCCGTGGACTGGCCTGCACAAGCGAAACAGCCTGACGTGTGAATGTGAACTGCAGGTGATCTGATGTTGGCGGAGATATAATTGAAAGCTGTATGAATTGGATTGTGGAAGATTTTGTTGGCTGTTTAGGGATCTTGGACTTTGTCCTGAGGGCAATGAGGAGCCCCAGGAGGATTTCTAGAAGGAAAGGGGCGTGGCCCGATTTGCTGTTATCTGGGAACAGATTGATGGGAAGGAGACGAGGCCTGGGAACCAGGTTGGTGGCTGTGGCACAATCCTAGGTGAGAGATCTTGAGGATGAACAAGAGTAGGGGTCTTGGTTGGGAGGAGAGGGAGGGTGTGGCCGGGTTGACTGTATGGCTTACAGGGTGTGTGGGAGGAGGAGGCAACAAAGGCAGGAAAGCACATAAAACAATACCTGGCGTGCTGTAGATGCTTAATTTAAAAAAATTTTTTTTAAATTAACAGTCCTAGGCAGGTACTGCAAATGAAGATAGTGAGAGCAGAGAAAGCTAAGTAATTTGCCCAAGATCACGTGGCTAGGAAGTGGAGGACCCAGGATATGTGTGTGTGTGTGAACTATTAGCAAGGTGCAAGATGAACCTCCAAACATTGTCTCCCAGACATTGGAGCCAAATCGTATAATCCTGTAAGGAATGTGGGATAAGCATGGCTTGCATACATGTAACATATATCCCAACTCTCTATTTCTCCATCCCTGTAGTTCTCAAACCAAAAACTTTGGATTTTGTGCTTGACTCCCTTTTTTGTCTCATACCCATGTCTGGTCCATCAGCAAATTCCTTCAGAGTATATTCAGAACCTGACCATTTCTTCCCACCCTAACTCCTGGCACCCTGGTCCTATCCTCTCTCGTCTCCTGCCTCCAGACCATCACGGCACTGCTCCCTATAGTCTGTTCCTTTCATGCAGCCAGAAGGATGCTGTGAACACTGGCAGAGGTCACATTCCTCTCCTGCTTAGTACCCTTCTGCAGCTCCTCCCAGAGAATAAATACGAAAGTCTTCTTTATGACCTGGAAGGCCCTGCATGATCTGTCCCTGTCACCTCTCTGACATCCTCTCCTCTCTCCTTGCTCACTCTGCTCCAGCCACAGTGGCCTCAGGGCCTTTGCACTTGCTGTTCCCTCTTCTCTAGATAGTCACCTTCACCTCCTTTGGGTCTTTACTCAGATGTCACCCTCTTGAAATCTCCCCCAACCATCCTTCTAGAATTGTACCACCAATTTTAACTTTTCTTAGCATTAGCCCTATCACTAATTAACACACTATACAATTTGTTTACTTATCTTGCTTACTGTCTCTCCATCCCCACCCAGTGGACCATCAGCTTCATGAAAGCAGGGGCTTTGTCTTCTTCACGCTTTATCTCCAACACCTAGAAGAGCGGCTTAGCACATTGTAGGGCTCAGTAACTATTTATTGAATAGATGGATAGATGATTTCTTAGCATGGGTCCTGATCCTAGCATCCGGGGAACTCTGTCAATCTTCTTTTAAGAACTTTAAGAGGACGCTGGCAAGTTTTCTGAGGTATGTCTCAGACATTCAACAAGTATTCTTGCCTCTGCTTTGTGCTCAACATTGGGAACACAGCAGAGAACAAAACAGTTCCCCTACCTCCAAAGAGCTTACAGTCTCAGGTGTTGGGGTTCAGGTCATCAGCAAATCACACAAATATGAAATTGCAAAGGAAGCTAGAGAGTGCTGTATGAGCACTTGACAGGAAATTGAATCTGGACCTAGGAAGGGGGGTTGAGGTAATGAAAGAGGAAGGCATCAGGGCATATCATTAAGAGGTAAGAGTGTGTGTGCATGTGTGTGTTTAGTGGTTGGAACCTAGAGGCTGAGGGGGAACAAGAAGCCAGACCATGGAAATCCAGTAAGGAGTTTACGTCCTTACCCCATGTGTAGTGGGAAGTTGTAGAAGAATTCTAAGCAGCCGAAGGAGGCACAGTCAGTTATGTCTCTTAGAAGATCGCTCTCGCTCTCGTGTGGGGAACTGATTACAGGGAACTTGGGGCTGAAGTACAGAGACCAGTGACAGGCTGTTTTCATGAGATTAAATAGCTGCTACTGAAGAAGGCCAGTCTTTGCTGTTTCTCCCATCAGAAGGTGGAGTCTTCTCATCTCCTTTAATCTGGTCTGGCCTGTGATTTGTATTGACAGATAAGAGTAGAGTGGGTGACAGTGTGCCAGTTGTGGGCCTGGGTCCTCAGCAGCCTGGTAGCTTTCATTTTCTTGGAACCCTGGGCTGCTGCATAAAGAAGTCTAGCTGCGTTGCCAGAGAGAGATGTGGAGAGAGGCCCAGCCACCCCCTAGCTGTTCCTCTATTTTAGCTGATGTGCCAGACATGAGTGATGCCACCCTGGATGTTCTAGCCTGGCTCTCAGCCAACACCATGTGGAGTAGAACTAAACCATCCTGACTCACCTCACTCTCTCAGCCTTGTCAGCTCACAGAATCGTGAGCAAATAAATGATCACTATTTTAAGCCACTGTGTTTGGGGATGATTTGTTACCCAGCAGTAGCTAACTGAAAACAACTTTCTGAGATCTTTCCATTTTATGGATAAGCTCATATAATCCTCACAGCCACCCTATGTGGTAGTACAATTATTTCCATTATACAGATGTGGAAAGGGCACAGAGAAGTTAAGGAAATACAGCAAGATACCTGGCACATAGGAAGTGCTGAGTGTGCGATGGCTGTTACTGTCAGCATCGTGTTCATCAGCAATAAACTCAGCATGATTGTTGAAGAAGTGGTAGGAAGCATTGTTATTAACCCATTTGCAAGTGGTGTGATTTTAGGTAAGTAACCACCTCTCTGAGGCTCAATTTCTCACCTGTAAAGTGGAGATTATAATAATACTCGGCTCACAGGATTATTGTGAGGAGCCCAGGGTCTGGCAGAGCAAATGCCTAATACATGGCAGGCCTGGGTCATCACTTGTGTGAAACATGTAGCTAAAATTGTTGTAGACAGCAATCTTAAGACCACGAGGATGAAGCCATTAGCCATTCTCTTGTGAGGTCTAGTGGACAGACAGTTCCTTCATGGTATTGCTGAAATGTTGGATACAGCCTCACCTGAAGAGTACTTTCTCATGAAGGACTCCTTTAAATCTTTATCAGATACACCAAGTAGAATTGGGAATTCTGTTACTTGAAACAAACATCCTAGGGTTCTATTCACTTATTTGTTGGTTCATTAGATATTGAATACTTAGTACAGGCCAAACATTGTTTTAGGAACTGGTGTAATGATGGTAAACAAGACTGTCGAAAGCCCCAACCTTCTGGAACTTACCTTCTAGTGGGGAAGGCAGGTGACTCAAAAATAAATATTGGCAGTAAGAACTGTGAAGGTTGAGGGTAGGAGAGATAGGGACAGGAGCTGCTGTTTGAGGTGAAGGGGCTGAGTAAGGTATCTTTGAGGAAATGCTAATGGAGGAGGGACCTAGCCAAAAGCAAGGAAACCAGCTGTGGGTACACTTGGGGAAGAAGGGCATGACAAATAGAAAAAGTAGCCCATTCAAAGGCCCTGAGGCATGCTTGGTGTGTTGGTGGAGCCGAGGACTGAATGGGACAAGAGTCAACCAGTTGGGTGGGCAGGAGACCAGGCCTAGAGCATGCAGGGCTTCATGGGCCATGGTAAGGACTTCAATTTGATTCTCGGTGACATGGCAAGCAGTAAAGCATTATGAGCTCAAGAGTGATGCGATCTAACACTGGGCTAGGATTCCTCTAGCTGTCATGTGGGCCCTAAGATGGAAGCAGGCTTCTTGGTCTGGAGGCTCCCACACTAGTGCACCTGAGAGAGGG